TTTTAATTATGAAAGTTATTTTTTAGGTAGTGATGATAATCATTATGACGACTAACTATTTTTTGAACAATATATTGTTAATATGGTCTATATAAAATTATTTTATTGAATGTATTATTTATGTTTTGAGTAGTTTAATCACTCTACGTTATTTTATTGAAAAATAGAAATGTTTAATGTGAAAACCCATTCTCAATTTAAACTAGGAATTTGAGGAAATTAAAATAATGAAATATGATGGGTCACATCAAAAAATTAAATTAAGGTTCAATATTTGTGAAGTATTAAGTTGAAATTGATCCACTATATGTAGGTACACATATCAGCATAAGAGGGCAATAATATGATCACATTATTTTCCATCATTACTTTCATCCATTCTCACATCATCTTCATATGAGCGATCTCTACCTCTAAGGGATGATCAATCAAACCTAGGGGTGTCAATTTCAAGTCACGGGTAGGGTTCGGGTCGGACCCGGGACTGATCCGGGTTCAAATGGGTTGACCTTAACCCGACCCGGATAGGTAAACGGACGCGGCCGCGGGCAGCGATGCGAGCGCGCGGTGCGAAGCGGGAGCGCAGTGCGACGCGGGCGAGGTCTGGTTCGCGAGCGTGGCAGTCGCGGGCAGCGACGCTGGCAGGGGCTTCAAACGGGTTTCCGGGGTCAACCCGAACCCGACCCGTTTTAAAAACGGGTCGGGTCTAACCCGAAAATTCCGGATCGGGTTCGGGTCGGATTTTCATGTCGTGTCAAATATTGACACCCCTAATCAAACCATCTTTAGTGACTTTTATGAACTTTATATACTACATTTATGTCGTGTCATCACCACCTCCATGAAATGACAAACATAGCATTTTATTACAAAAAATGAACACCACTCACGGAATTACTGATTGTATCAAATTGACCTCTAATTTTCTCCTTAATGAATTTTGATCTTAAAATGCTCATTCCTCATACACATTTTATTTAATATTTCAGATTATATGTATGTTATCATTTCTATTTTACTATTTTTATTATCCGCTAATATCAACAATCAATATAGGAAAATCTATGTTTACAGGTAGAATTTTATCTGCTGGTAGAAGTTGCAGTTTAACCGGCGGATATTTTGCTGGTAACTTTTTGTAGGATTTTCCGGCATATAGTCTCTCGGAAATTAACCGTTTTTGTAAATGCGGCGATTATTTCTAGCAAAAAATATCGATTTTCGGCGGATTTAGAACACCCGTAACACTTGATTTTTACGTAATACATGTAATAATGTTCATTTTATACCCTATGCTTTGAATGTCTTTATGAAATTCGTATGATCCCCAAAAAAAAAACAAAATCCCATTTCCCAATGACCTCCAATCTCTACAATCTCCATGCCGAGCTGCCGATCTAAACCTTTAATGATTAAATATAATAATGTCCAATCACGACACGTGTTCGCTTCATAAAAGACATGGCCATGTAGATTAAATTTACTAATTTAGTATCGTCTAAATTATTATTTTAGAAAATTTAAGAAAATAATACGATTTAAGTTATGGGCGAAGCAAAAAAAAATGTGAGGACACAAATTAATAATTTTTAAATACTATTAATCTTTTATGAGTAATTTCTTAAGTCTTTTCATTTAATTATTATTAATAAAATAATATTTGACCTTTCAAAAGTATCAATATTTATTTTAAGTAAATTATTAAATATATATTATACTAATTGTATTACACACAAATATAAAATTATCTTATTTCACTTTAAACATTTAAGTATTAGTTTTATTTAAAAAGAAATTTATAACATATATATAATTTTCTTTCTAAATATATGATTTTTAGTGATGTGAATTTTATATTTTTTCTGATATAAATTTTTTGAATAAACTTATTAATTACAAATTTATATCATACATAAAAAAGTTTATCAAAAAGTTCTTTATTTAATAATTCTTTGAAAATATTTACATGAATGATCTAAATAAGAAATTAAAAATACTTTCATATTAAATTTTTTTGATAATTTAAGTATAAAACAGAAAACGTTATATCCATAATTTTTGCGAGAGCTTCTTTGTGGAACTTGTATTTGGTCCGGTGAACGTACGTAGAGCTACGTTCGGCCGGCACTAAGATCCCATGCACAAAACGAGAAATACTGAGCAAATACCGAGCAATACCAATAATAACGAGAAATATCATTATGTTAAAACAAAATACCGAGTAATACCGATCAATACCGAGCAATACCGAGTAATACCAAAAAATACAGAGTTTTTTTTCTAGAAAAACTAGGTATTTTTTTGTAATACTCGGTATTGCTCAGTATTGCTCGGTATTACTCGGTATTAGACTTCTCAGAGTAGTATTCCTCGTTATTATCAAACAATACTTAGCAATACCGACCAAATACCGAGCAAAAATCGAGTAGCAATCCTCTGACCGAACGTAGATCTACGTCCGGTCAGAGGACGTAATAACAAAGGATTCTGGTTTGAAACTCGCGGATGCGCTCCTAAGTTTTATAAATTGTTTTGGGCTTTCTTTGATGGGCCAACGGGGGCCTTGGTACACCAGTGAAAAACTAAAGAAATATTCTTTTGGGCTTTCTTGATGGGCTAGTGGGTCCAGTGCTATAAGACATACTGAATACGTTCCAATGCACTTGTTTAGACCCGATCTAGTAAGTGAACATTTCTGCATGTCTTTCGTGTTATGCATAAGTGCATTTGAATTTGTTATGAAGTGAATCCAAGGAAGTGCATGCTTGCATGAGCATAAAAATATGATAATTTTCCCTAAAAGCACTTCGGCGCTGAGATGAAAATTATTCTTGGTTCTTTTAAATAAATTTATGCTGCCATAAATGAAATCATAATAGGTCGACTTAGGGGCTATTTAGTTACAAGCGTCTAAATGCAATGTCAAAATATATATTATATTTGAAATACATTATGATATTTTTTTAGTTGAAAAATAGTTTCAGAATATTAGTTTTGATTTCTTGATTGATGTAGTTGTGGTAGCAGACAAGCGAGTGGTAACTACAGGAAAAATTATTACGTACGATGTATGGATGTGTTCAGAGGCTAATTCGAACGCGTCATGTCATCCAATGCACAATACATTGGATGATGTGACGCGTTTGGATTGGCCTTCGGATGCGTACGGACTTCGCATAGAATAATCTCTCCAATGCAATGCGTAGTAGGATGTTAAATTTGACAATTTTGAAATTCAACAAAAAAGATGGATTATATTTCAATTAATGAAATACTTTCCATTTTATATTATTCCAACCAAACAAATTTTCAAAATTCTTAAAATTTTGATTTATTTCTTCTCTCACAAACCCCCCAACCAAATAGCCCCTTAGCTATTTTTTTTTTCTAAGAAAAAAAAAGTTATGACGCACGATTTAGAATTGAAATAGCACTGTATTTTTTTCATAATTTTAAATAAATTTAATCTTAATTTTATAACGCATTCATTTACTTCAAATTTAATTTTTTAGGACATTTCAACAAAAAAGATGGATTTCAATTAATGAAATACTTTCCATTTTATATTATTCCAACCAAAAAAAATTTCAAAATTCTTAAAATTTTGATTTATTTTTTCTCTCACAAACCCCCCAACCAAATAGCCCCTTAGCTTTTTTTTTTTCTAAGAAAAAAAAAGTTATGACGCACGATTTAGAATTGAAATAGCACTGTATTTTTTTTTTCATAATTTTAAATAAATTTAATCTTAATATTATAACGCATTCATTTACCTCAAATTTAATTTTTTAGGACATTTGGACTAATTAAAAATAAACTCATACATACAACACATACATAAATACAACTTCTCTTGATTTGTAGGTTGGAAGCTTTGACTATCAACTAAAAGGTCTTTAGTTCGAATTTTATATATATCATATGTATATAAATTTATCTTTGTTGCTTCCTGGAATATTCATTGTGATAGAGAAGTATATAGTTTAACGTCTTAGCGTTGTACGAAGATCCAGCACACAAGCATATGAAAAAGAGAGGGTGCAACATTTATAAGAGACACTAAAATTTTTACATATAAACCCCTGAAAAGGGGGAAAACACTGGGCCTCGCCCAATTTAAATGAATCAATTAGTATTTGCAGTTGATTATAAATGAGGCTCTTTTTTATGGAAAAGGCATTGACTTGATGTCACAAATGTACATCATCTAGAGCGTATTATATGGTGGGAGTTACAATAATCAACATAGACATATTTGTTTGGTTGGCAGAATCATTTTTGATAAGACAGAGGTCGGAATGACTGTGGTAGGCTATGAAACTTGGAAGGGCCATAGTCGGCATGAGATTGGGGTCAAAAAGATCATTATCTGATGAGGGAGGTCGGAAGGACTATAGTAGGCGATGGAGGTAAGAAATATCATAGTTGGCAAGATATTGGGGTCAGAAAGACCATTGTATGGCCAGGAAGGTCAGAAGTATGGTAGTCGGTAGGAGATTGGGGTCAGAAAGACCGTTATCTGGTGAGGGAGGTTGGAAGGACCGTAGTAGGCGACAGAGGTCCGAAGGACCGTAGTCGGCAAGAGACTGGGGTCAGAAAGACCGTAGTAGTAGGGCGGTACTCCAACAGGTGGTGGTTCGACAAAACTTGGTGGTGGTGTGGCAGAACTCCGGCAGTGGTCGAGTTGGAGCTATGCAATTGGAGCTTTCTTACTTTTCTTCCTTCTTCTCTCTTGACTTTTTCCCATTTTCAAGAAAAAATATTGAAAATGGGTTATATTTATAAAATTTTTGAGTGACATGACTTATAAATAAGTAAATCATCAAGGGTAAATCTTAAATAACCTCACCCTGATTATGTGGTCTTTGTTGTTTGCGCTGTAATAGAACCGCCGCATCTGGGCGTGGTTGTCCGTGCACAAATTATTTTGTTATCTTATCTTGCTAATATTTAGGGGACGCGTAATTTTGTCTTGCTAATATTTAGGGGCCGCGTAAGGGCTACGGGACTATAAAATGTGGAGTTTATTTTAGGTCAAAGGTGACCAAGCACCGCATCACAGTGCGAAGCTTTTCCTGTAAGGCAAAAATTGTCATTCGGCATCAATTTTCTCTTTCTTGGTGATTTCAGATTCTGCCCCTCTTCAACCATTGTGTTCAACCTCTTTCTCACGCTTGTTATTTAGATTCATTCTTCCTCGCGACATCGAGGCTTCCGATTATGTTGCAGCGATTCATTGACAACGTGCTCGCCGTCGGCAAGGAGTACGATCTCTCTCTCTCTCTCTCCTTTTCTCTCTCTCTTCTCTCTCTCCATCTACAAATTGATGTTTTGCGCTCGTTTTCCATATTTTTTTCCTCTCGATTTACTGGATGACTGGGAATTCTCTTGCAAAATTTCCATTTCCTTTGTCGTTTCGATAATCGAAAAATTTCAAGATGCGGTTTTGGGTTAAATTTTGAATTTGATAAAGGGTTATTTTAAATTTTTTTGGTGAATGTGATTAAATGCTCTATATTCGAATTTGATTTAGCCGTAAGATGAAATTAGGGCGGACTAGATGAAATTTGTGCTTTTTCTAGAATTAAATCGTATTAGTTCGACTTTATGGATTCCTGTTTTTTCTTTTTTCCAAGGATATGATTGCTAAGGAAGAAAATATTTTTGGGGAGCGAATTTTCTAGTTGACGTGGGTGTTCTATGACTGAGTTGGTTATAGATGAAAATATTATATTTTCCTAATGAACTGCGGGATTTTAGCGGAGTTGTCGTCTCTACATTAGAAGCCCTTCTGTCGCCTCTCACTCAAGAGGGTTGCTTCAGTCAGTCTCTTCAATCAAACATTTACCCCCATGTGTTGTACAAATATCTATCTGTAAATTAAGGCTAGCAATTTAGGCCTAGTTTGGTTTGGTTGTTGGTGATGTAAAATGGAGTTTTAAAAACAGATGTTGATAAAAAGGAATTTATAAAACTCTTGTTTCAAGTTTTTGTATGAAGATTATGTTTGTTGATAATTGAGGTACGTGGAGCACATATTTTAGGGTGAGGTAGGAAGATAAGGGTTTATCTCCTTAGTCTGCTATTGTGGTAAGAGAACCATCAACAGTGATGATTTATTATCACTCGGGCAATGACTGTAGTTGATGAAGTGGGTAGTGGAGTGTGTCATGTGATTTGTGGCTCTTGAGTCAATGATCCATACTCCTTTCAAATGATTTCTAGAGGCACCTAATACAATGGATATAAAAAATTTACCTGAAAGTACAAGAGAAGAAGATGCAGGTGATTTTTTAAGGGATACAATTAGTTGTTTTAGTTTATCAATATTTTCTTTGTTGAGCTACTAAAGCTGGACTATTTACTTGGGGGCTTTCGATGTAACTCCCTGCATGCCTCCTTTTTATGTCTTGATTTTTTGTAATAGATGCACCAAAGAAAGACAGTCTTTGTCTTGAGATTTTGAGAAATCCTTACCTCTTTTATTCTATGACGCCTCTTTGGATATCACCATTGTTGAACCTTCATCAACCTTTGGTTCCAGCATTACACCTCGTTGGCTTTCCTTGGAACAAATGAGAGAAATGATCCCATTTAATGAGGGTGTCTCCTCTTTTTCAAGGATATGAACTCTAACTTAGTCAAACTCTGTATTTAATCCTGCAAGAAAGTCATGCACTCCATCTTTCTCAATAAAGTTTTTAGGATAGCAGCAACTTCTGGACACTTGGTCTATATGCATTTGTAGTGATCAAGTTCTTGCTACAAGGTTTATAGGAGAGTGGTATATTCAGTCACGGTCTTGCTTCTTTGTTTTGTGATTCCCACCTTGATTTTAATTTCGAAGATTTGTGCTGCATCCTGAACTTTTGAGAAGGTTTGCCTAGCGGCATCCCATATGTCTTTTGCAGTAGATAAGAGCATGAAAGTATCGCTAATTTCTGGATTCATGAAATTTCATAGCCGTGACATAATCATAGAGTATGCATGCCCAAAAATTAGGATATTCTTTTTTTTGTTCCTACCCCAAGGAGCTAATTCATCTTTCCTTTTCCTTTTAAGTAGGCCTTCATAGATTGAGACTACTTCAAATAATTCTTCTCATTAAAGCGATAAGAAGGTTGCATATTTTGGAGATCTCCTCTTCCTTGTTGCACCATAGAGTCCTCCATTTGTTCAAAGCTTTGGGAGGAATTTGCTTAAGACGTTGCAACTACAAAGGGTAGAGATGAAGACTATATCAAGAAGGACAACAATAAAGGCTGTGTTGGTTATAGATAGAATAATAATAAGGGAAGGTCGACAATGAAGGCATGAAAATACAAAAAACTAAAAATTCTTGCGACGACAATGAAGGCTCTTATACCATCTTAAATTCAGTGAATTGGAGAGGGAAAAGGCTTAGTTTTATTGAATAAACTTGTCCCTATTTATAGATCTATGCAAGATATATTAATGAAGAAACAAATAATTATAAATTCATGCATAATTGCTCTAATATAATCCTTCCTAAATTAGCCATCAAAATATGGAAGGAGATCAGCGTTATCCAGGTGAGCCTCCCACAGATTCTCATCCTAGCCATGGGATCAAAATGCCAATGGATGGCTAGGATTTAATTTGTGAGTCTCCACGGATTCTCATCCTAGCCATGGGGTCAAAATGCCAAAGGATGGCTAAGATTTAATAATATTATTATAAATTGTGATTAAATATTTAAATACTTTGATATTAAATTAAAATATAAATGTTCAATCACATAATTATTAGTGTAATTAGTAATTACTATTTTCAATGATATGATTGTCTTAAATCTTGAAATATGTAAATGTAACCAAATAGTTCATCAAAATTTAACAGTATTTAACCTCTGTCATGCCAAACAATTTTCATTATTTATCTTCCTTAGGAGTTAGAAGATTTACTAAATCCTTCTTGAGTTAAATCCTACTTGTTGCCAAACAAGCGCTTAACATTTCTCTTGGATTAGAAGACCATTTACGATTTATCTAGCATGGTAAGCATTTTTCTGAGGGGCAAAGCTATTTTCTTTGCTATGGGGATTTTCTTTGCTGGTTTTAAGCTTAAGGATTACTTAAATTGGTACGGGTCTGCCTTGTAGCTGTAGAAGACCCAATCTTAAACTTTTTGTAATGTTGAGTGCTTAATTGGTGCCTTTTTTAACAGTATAAAAGCCATGTTCCTATGATATTTATAGACTGCTTTAATTTTCTTTTTGCACTGTAAGGAAATTAATATGCGGGGAAAAAGGATTCATGTAGCCAACCCCACGTAGTGGGATAAAAGGCTTGATGTTGTTGTTGTACTGTAAAAAAATTAATAACTATGAAGTCAACAACGAGTTATTGCTTGTAGTCTTTTTCAAGTGAAACAAAATCTTAAATACGGGAGCCAAGTTTTAAGGCTTTTAGGTCAAATGCAAAATATGAACTCTTCATGCTCTGACAATTGATACCTGGGGTGAATTCGACTGTGGCGTTGCTTGGCTTTCAAATGAGAGAGAGGTTCTTGATTGAAAACAGCCGTCACTTTTCAGACAAAATACTTTCTGCAGGAATGCCATCTTGTCATGTCATGATAAGTGAACTTTTTAAAGGTTACATGAATATAAATTATCAATTTTATTTCTTGTGACTAACCACTTATAATACTTATTTGGTTTTATTTTGAATCTTTTGTGGCCTAAAGTTTACCATTTGGATCCCAATGTTTGGAAAGATTTTGTACCTTTTTAATGTTTCTTGTCGAGCTACACTCACATATTAACATTGGGACTTTTAGTGGATGTGACTAGGATGCAGATGTATTTGGATACTTCTTTTCATTAATTATTTATTGCTAATTCTTGAGCTTCCTTCTGTTGTTCACTATGCGTTGAGAGTCAAATCTCTATTGCCTCCTTGAGAGAGAGTTGTCCTGAACCACTAGAGTATGAGGCATGCTTACCTAGCCATTATCATTCTATGTTATAGTATGAGTAGTTTTCTCGAATTGTCAATATATAGAATTATCATGAAATGCATGACTATATTCAAGGAGTTTTCCCTACTGATATCAGGCTCTCTACGCTAAGTTAAATTATAAATTTTATATTAAAAAAAAATCAGGCTCTCTACACTAAGCTTGGAAATGCATGCTGGTGTGCTTCTTGAATCTTTGGCATCTTAAAGTTTCTGTTTCAGGAAATCTCATTAATAATACTTTACTTTTCTTGGAAAGATCTTCTTGATTATATGTTATTGAAACTGATGCCATGAGCAGTTTGCCTACATTCGAATAATGAAGGAGAATTATTAGAGGTTTGTTTGGAGTGATACTGTCTATAAAGTCAATTATGAAATTATCATATAAAAAATTATTGTTTGAAGTTATTATATAATTTCTTTAAAATATTAATGATAGAATTATAAAATTTTGAATTGAGAAACTATGGAACATAGCAGCACTGCTAGAATGCAAGATGATGAACTCAATCATGTAAAGTTTTTTTGGGCAAGATAACTTTTTGAGACGTATTTGATAAGTTGTTAGTCAAATGCTAGTGTCATTGCCATTTGAAAAACAAAATTGACTGAAAGTTTCTATTCTAGGAAATCTCATTAATAATACTTTGATTTTCTTAGAAAGATCCTCTTGATTATATATTTTGAGTTCATACTTGCAAATAGTGAAGGTGAATTATCTTGTTGATTATATGTTCTGTGTTCTGGAATTGATGTCATGAACAATTTTATACTTGAAATAGCGAAGATGAATAATTAGGGATCTGTTTGGGGTGATTAAAACTCTGTAAAGTCAATTATAAAATTGTCATAAAAAAATTTATTGTTTGAAGTTATTAAATAATTTCTTTAAAAAATAAATGATAGAATTATAAAATCTTGAATTGAGAAACTACAAAACATAGCCACACTTCTAGAACGCAATATGATGAACTCAATCATTTAAAGTTATTTTAGACAATAGAACTTTTGTAGACGTAGTTGATAAGTTAGTCAAATGCTAGTGTCATTGAGATTCACAAACAAAACGGATAGAAAGTTGTTGCAAACTGACCCCAAGAGTTATGACCAATTAATGCGCAAATAGTTTTAACTCTCTACAACAACAGATGCATGATTTACTTTCTTATTTGTTACATGGTAATGCCATTAACTATTGCATCAAATTTTGCAGATCAGTGAAGACATTCACATATGAATCTTTGAACAATATTACAAGGTTGATTAATGGAGTTTCTGCACTTCTACTGGCCGTACTTCCTGGGAAGGCAACCATTTTAGAGGGCATGTATGGCTGGGAGCTTAGGCCTACCTTTCGTGGGCCTCGACTTCCTAGATGGATGGAGAAGTAAGTTCTGGTGTTTTTCTGGTGTTTTTAGGTTCTTTACCCTTTTGATGATAAATAAGTTCTTCATTTGGCCTCCTGTATGTTAGCCTTTTTTAGAATTGTTTGGTTTGATGGAGTTCTTCCAACCACTGATGAGCGAAGCGTGACATCTTATTCTAACCTCATTTAATTTTAGAGAATGTAAATGTAACGATTAGAAGATATTTTCTTTATGCAAGCTACTGTGCATAAATTTTAATATCATTGGCCATGTAATATAATTTTATGTTTTAATGTTAGATTCACTTATTTACGTTTGTTTCATCAGTAATATGAAGAACTATTTATTTCTAGGTTTGAAATTTTAAAATAAAATTTCTTTTGTTTATGTTCTTGATGGCAGTGGTGTGTCCTCATTCAACCAATTCATACATGAACTTTCTCTTGATTCTGATTCTTCAAGTATAGAATATTCATCTGGAGAAGATGATGATGACGGAAACATGTCTCCAGCTTCTCCTTCGTCCCATACCTCTCGCTTTTCTCATGCAAGCAGCTTTTCTCGAACTAGCAAACGAGTAACGTGGATGCAACCAATCATGTTATTGATGTCCATGATTTTGTGTCCTTTGAAGGTTCTTTTGAGGATTCCACTATTGATTTATCATTCGGCTGGGTTTAGGAGAGGGGGAGACACCTCCAGTAGCATACATAGAGACCAGTTAATAGATGACCCATATATAAATAAGAAACCAGCCCATCTAAAAGACCATATCGTTCAGCGCACAATGGATAGAAGACGTGGAGTGATTGAGGTAATGTAGACTTCTCTGCTATTATTCTTATGTTTTCAGAATATTTATTTTCATGGTTCTACATTCGTGTAGTTACTATAATAAGATTAAATGTAATTGCAAGGGAATTAGTTTGTCATCTGTGATATTATTTTATCCAGGATCTTCATCTAGCCATTGAAGTGCTCATTGAAGCGATTTTTGATATCTTCCACAAGGCTGCACATTTTCTTCTTTCGCCTTCAGAAATCTGCAGGATACTTTTTGGGATCTCCTCGTCTCATGAATTTGATGTACCTGTTCCCATGTCTATCCTTGCTGATGCTGATCCAACTCCTACTGAAAGGCGGACTTCTTTCAGAAGATCTTTGAATACAGATGCACGAACCTGCCAAGATGTAATTACAGAGCTTGGGTATGCGCTTTTGCTTTGAAATGCTTTATGGCCTTACTGTTTCTCAGTCTTTTGTTAAAGGTACATAAAGCCTGGGTCATAAACTTCACATGTGGTCCAGAAAGCTTCATTGGTGTTGGAAAATATAGCACATATTGTATGATATACGGCTGACCTTTGAGTTGGAAATGAGTGAACAGTAGGGTTGGATAAGCAAGTACACGAGACCTACCAATATGTTTTTTTCTACTAGTATAAATTATGGTCAGACCATGTACCTTAAACTGAAAGCTTCTAGATTATTTTGGTAGTTTATATTGCCTTAAAACAAGTGATCCGAGCATTATTGTGCTAGATGCTAGTGGAGTTATATTGTAGTCTTTAAATATAACTATAATTCCATATATATGGAAAAAGATTAAGGAAGGAATTAATGTGGGGTTTGAATTCAAATATGCGAGGGAGATATGTAAGGAAAGTTTCCTAATTGTGTTTATTATATGTTAAGAAGGTTTTAATTATTTACGAAAGCTTCCTAATTGGGTTTATTATTTGTTAGGAAGGATTTAATTATGGAGATTTTTATTAGGAAGGTTCCAAATATGTTCTTATATATTATAGCTATTTAAGGGGGAGTTGTCTAGAATTTATGCTTTTTGTTAGATTTTTTGCTGTAGTTTTTCTCAGAGGCTTCCTAATAGTGTCTTAGCGGCGTCTAGGTTGTTTGGGATAACCGATCTACCTTATTGAAGTATTAATATAAAAATCAGCTACCGCTTTAGTTTTACTGTAATTTTCTTATTTGTTGTTTGCTGTTTTTGTTTCCAAGGCATATTAGTTTCTCAACCCTACAATGTGTTTTCTTAAGCAACTCTCATTCTAATACAACACTATTGTGAGTCATCAAGCTTGAATCATGTGCTTTTGGCAAGGGAAATTTTGATACTGAGCATATGCATAAGATGATCAGGCACATAATGTATCATCTTGGGTGATGTAGTTAATGTGTAATAGCAAGATTATACCCATCTCCTAGATGCTGATGAGGATCTTGTTGTTGACAATTCTTGTGTGGATCACCTAGGCAAGGACTAATAAGAGGCTTAGTTTCCATGTGATGATGAGTCTAAATGTGGCTTATATTCTTTAGTCTATTCTTGTTGAAGTGTTTACATTACGGAGTTAAGGGGAGAGGAAATGGGGGCATTGCTTGCTTTCAAACCAACACTGGCATTGAGTTTTCTCAACAATTTCATTAGAAAGACTATGGAGAGGAAGGGTGGTGGAGTCTTTCAGCTGTTTTTCATTCTTCTTAAAAGGGGTTGGAGTTAATGGAATTTCTTAAGAATCTTTGATTCATTTTTCTCATGGTAGCATGTTTGAAAGGATAATAGGCTTTGGTTTGCATATTCTAACAAATAAGATCAGGGTTTGACCTTATTTAAAGTGGCGTGTTAGTGAATAACGTATTTGGAAATGTGTTATGGATAAATTTAGAAATCATTTCAAAGTTTGATATAGAGATTTGTGAATAATTTTTTTTTGTGTGTGGATTCTTGTCAAAATAGTTAACTAGTACCTCAAGTTGTGATCTTGAAACATAAACTAGCACCTCTTAGATGGATATGACTAGATTTAGGAAAATAATCAACGTCCACCTTTTACCATTACAGAAAAAACTTCCCTGGGATAGAGTTTTATCAAGTTTCATTGTGATGTGATACAAGATTGCTATAAGAATTGTAAAAGGCCTTGGGTTACATAATTCAACTAATGATTAATTGCTGTTATAATCAATTCTGATTGATTTCAAAGACCTTAAGATGGGCAATTGACAAGTTGCTTATCATGCAAAATGAGATTTCATTGTACTAAAAAAAAAAGATTTTTCTTAGGCATGATCAAATGGTTCTATAAATGCATTACTTCATTTATTCACTTATTTTGTGATGTTTTTCATGTTTTAGAGTCATAGAGTTGGTAATTCAATTAGAATACGTGTTCCCCTATTCCAAGGAGATTTATCACTATGAATATACTTTTCTTCACTTGGAACCAAGTGATGCTTAGTTTCATTTTTCAATCCTTGGGAGCTAACATGCCTTACATCAAATCTTGTTTTTTTTTTAAGGAAAATTTTTATAATCAGTCAATAAAATGAGTACAACATCAAGCAAATGCATAGAATTGTTAGTTGAATAAGAAATAACCAAAATATTTCCCTTACCGAGGGAACATAAATATCAATTTCCACCAAAATGGTGGGTACATAATGCCTGGGTAGCCTAGCTATAGAAACTTCTACTCTGAATAGGTTTATCAAAAATAGAACAAAGCAAGAATGATGTAGATTGATTAAAAAATTGATGCAAACAAGAAAATAAAGGTTTTTTCAACATTCATAAGGCACCAACAATAGCATCAAAAGCCATAGGAAGAGAAGCAACAAATGAAACGGACAAGATGGAGCTGGGTGAGGAGACAAGGCATCAGATGCATCCATACTCAAGGTGGAGATCAAGCATTGAATCCACGATGTATAACGAACTAGTGAATATCGCATAACAAGACAAACCTTTTCAACTAATATTAGGTTTGGGAGATGATGGGCAAGAAGAAGTCACTAGCCCAGCCCCCGCACCAAGAGCCTGAAACAAAAAAGGAGAACAATTAAAGAATAGAAATAATGAGTGAAAGAGATGTAAAAACTCGATGATGAGGCAATGCGAAGAATGAGCTACATAAACCACAATCTAGAGAAGGACATGCCATGAGTAGACAAAAGAAGGGGTGAGCTGGCACCTTTTTGCATTGAGGCAAGGAAAGATGTAACTGGGGTGATGAGGATGGAAAACAAGGAGGCATAATAGTCATTTTAGTTTTAGTTTTAGTTTTTTTTTTTTTTTTTTTTTACATCAAATGATGCTTTGTCATGTCATGATTATATGACTCTTAATATGACACGATGGAGAAAAAGGATTCATGCAGCCAACCCCACATAATGGTATAAAGGCTTGATGTTTTTGTTTTTGTGTAAATGATGCTTTTGTCAATTGTATTCTAGTATTTTAGATTTTGAAGGCATAAAATATTCTTTACTTTTTTCCATCTTATGATATCTTGAAACTTAATAAATATGTAAAAAAAGTTAACTTAATGGACACTTCTAAAGGTTCATCATATTGTCTCTTACACATGGATGTTGGGACATTTGAAACCTTGTTTTGTGTATGCCACTTGATGTGCCGAGTTTTAGGTTATTTTAAACAAAAATTCTTACTCTTATTAAAAATCTTGGTCAATGGAAGGAAACATGTTATATTTAAATTAGACAGTCAGTGTCATTCTAACTCATTTTTGTGCATCAGTTTCATTTAGAGTCTTATTCACTTTTTGTAATTAACTTTTGTTCGATGTTCTGATAGCTTGATGTATTCCCCAGTTCTTGGACGTCGTTTCCACCTTCATGCTTCCTCTCTTGTAATCCTTTCCTTTCATTTACGCTTTTAATATTGTTGAAGCTTGATGTACTAGGATTTTTCCTTAACAATACAATCATATATATTAATATAATTGGAAGAATATTATAGAATTTTGTGTTATTTAGCTCATGGTAATATATCAAATATCTGTAATCATATTTCCTAGGCACGTCATGTCCTATATTTTCCAAGAACTTTTATTTTGCTTTTCCCATGGCACTTGCTGACTTTCCCTGCTGGTCTGTGCTTCTTAGATAGCAGAATTAGGCTAAAGATGATATCTGAGTAGAGCTTCCTAATCTTGTTATGTTTCTTATATTTTATTGTTATACAACTCCCTTCTCAAAGTAATTTTTCTTATTCTTATTTGGATATTTGTTTTAGATATCCCTATGAAGCCATTCGTGTGGTTACATCGGATGGATATGTTCTGCTCCTTGAGAGGATCCCCAGGTATAAGCCAGGGCTAATTTAGTTTCTTTAACTACTTTTTTATGTTAATGTTGAACTAATTGGGCTAGATTTTATATTTTATAGGCGTGATTCACAGAAGGTTGTGTACCTTCAACATGGAATATTGGATTCCTCAATGGGGTTAGTATTTTTTATAATTTTAACTATATGATGATTTATGATTTTTCTAACCTAATTTGTTATTTAATTGCTTGTTAGTATTAAAAAATTTCTTAATATTTAATGTTTGAAAATTCTTTTTCATTCCAACTGTTTCATGAAATCTTCGTTGGGCTCCTGTTTTGACTATTCTGATAACATTTTGAATGTAGCTAGTGATTTTGTTTACTTGGCGTTATATTTGTCAATACTTATTTGTGATCATGGGTCAAGGACCCTGCTGCTATTTAGGAAATTTAAGTGATGCAGTTTTAGATTAGACGGCTCATTTGCACTTACCAATGCAGAAGGAATAACTTCAAAAATGCAGAAGGCTAGTCCAAAGCTAAAACTCCGCCCTCTTATAGATCATTTATGTTTCCATTGCTCTTTTAATAAGCTAATGAGCTCTGCATAATCGGAATTATGAAAATTAATAGAAAATAAACTGAATCAAGGAACAAAAAGACCAGCACAAATAACTAGATTTTCTTTTCTCCCAGGAGATTTAGTAATGTGGAGGCATGATCTAACTGATCTTTAGGTAAATTCTAAATTTGTATGTAGCAGTAAACTAGAGGTTTTAATCTCCTAAAGGTTCACTACTAATTCTATGGATATGCATGAAATTGAAAAAAGAAATTTCAAATTTGTTCATCTAGCTCATTATTTCAAACTATTAAACACCCTAACACAAGTAATTGAGTGGCTCAAAGCACATAATTTCAAAGCTAGTTAATCCAGATGACTCTGTAAGGAGATTGAGCATTTGAAACAGACGAGACATGTCCCACTTCTATCAAAACGGAATAGAGACATCTCCCAATTAATTGAAATAAAGTAAAATAAAATAAAAATTAAACTAACCAAACTTGCTAAGATCACTTATTCGCTCATTTTTTAGTATAAATATGCATATCTCAATCACTTCATAGAATAAAGTTCGACTGATGTATATTTTTATTAACAATCTCTATTGATGCAAAATCTCCAGTTTGAAACACTCTTTCCTTTTTATATAATATTAGATGGACCATTTAATCTATATTTTTATTAACAATCTCAATTGAGACAAGATCTCGCAATTATTATGTGTGCTATGATCCTAAGATTCAGTTAATCTGATCCATAATTTGCTTACTTGGTTTCAGTTGGGTTTCTAATGATGTGGTTGGTTCCCCTGCATTTGCAGCCTATGATCAAGGTTGGTAGCCTCTCTGAAATGGTAGTGAATCTAATATAATTTATCTATATTCAATGTTAAACGCTTTTAGGAAGTTGATTTGCCAAAATTTTACTGTGACCCCATTTTTGTAGGTTATGATGTCTTCCTTGGGAACCTGCGCGGACTAGTTTCAAGGGAGCATGTTGACAAAAACATTTCTTCACGCATGTAAGTCATCTTAGTCATTCTTCATAATATGGCATGAATATAGATGTAGCAGACTTAAAACTTGGTGTTTTGTTAGTATTTGCAAATTGGGCATGTGAATGTTTTGTGCTTCATCGCTCAAATTCTGAAAAAAAAGTTAGTAATTGCATATCACATCCATTAGGTAATCATCTGAAGGATGACTAGTTCCTATGGATTAGTTGTGTTCTATGATATGAAAAATTTCAGGCATGGCATCATTTGAGTTGAGATTTTCCGTTGCTGAGGGCATCTCCAACCGAAAATCTCTTTTTTCACTCCAAAATGTAGTGAAACTAAAAAATGGCATGATTCATCTCCAATCGGACTCCATTTGGCGCCCTTAGAAGAATGTAATTGCCTTTCTCCTCTTTCGCGTGTTTCTTCGGCAAATCCGGTAGAGACAAAAATAACGCAGGTGAACAATGCGACGCCACTGTTCACCCGCAACCAAATACCGGAAGTTTTGCCGTTTGGCTGGAGCTCGCGAGCGACGCCGTTCATATGTTTGGAGTTTGGTTGGAGAAGGCCTGAGTGGAAGCTAAAAAGTTCAACAAATATCGTGTCTTGTACTCTGTTGTATCCTTCACATTGATGAAGTATATTAAATCATTTTCAAATATTAATGCTATTTTTAGCTCTATCAAACTACTGACTTCATTTTAATGCAGGTATTGGAAATACTCCATCAATGAGCATGGAACCAAAGACATACCTGCAGTTATGGATAAGATACATGAAATCAAAATCGCAGAACTCAAGTTATCGTCACACCTCAATTCAGAAGATTTTTCTTATGGGCAGCCGCCCTATCAACTCGGTGTAATCTGTCACAGCCTTGGAGGAGCAGTGATGCTGATGTACATCATCATGCGCCGAATAGAAGGGAAGCCCCATAGGTTGTCAAGGATGACTTTACTCTCCCCTGCTGGCTTTCATGAAAACTCCAACCTAGTATTTACCATGGCGGAATATCTCATCCTACTTCTCGGTCCAGTCATTGCACCTTTAGTTCCAGGGCTTTATATACCTACCCGGTTTTTCCGCATGCTCTTTAACAAGTTGGCGCGAGACTTTCATAACTACCCTGCACTCGGCGGACTTGTTCAAACACTGATGAGCTATGTTGTTGGCGGCGATAGTTCAGACTGGGTGGGTGTGCTTGGATTGCCTCATTACAACATGGACGATATGCCCGGAGTGTCTCTTCGTGTCGCCATCCACTTAGCTCAGATAAAGCGAGCGAAGAGGTTTATAATGTATGATTATGGAAGTGAAGCTGCCAACATGGAGGCTTATGGTTCACCGGAGCCCTTGGACCTTGGCCATTATTATCATCTTATTGATGTGCCTGTTGATCTGGTAGCTGGAAGGAAAGATCAAGTGATCAGGCCATCCATGGTGAGGAAGCACTACAGGCTGATGAAAAGGGAAGGTGTAGAGGTCTCATACAATGAGTTTGAATACGCTCATCTGGACTTCACATTTTCACACAGGGAAGAGCTTCTGGCTTATGTTATGTCGCGTCTTTTGCTTGTCAGGCCACCACAGAAGCTGCAAGAAGAGCAAGACTGTAGAGAAGAAGATGAAATCAAATCCGTGGGGTAAGCTGTAGCTGGTATATATATAATCTCAGATTGTCTTTGTATAGTAGTACATTGTTGTGATTTTAGCATCCGAAGATCATATAGTTCACAGGGTAGAAGAGTGTTGTGGCTTCTATTATTTGGTCGTGGTGATGTGGATTGTCAAAGGGGATAGTTTTTGCCTTCCCCGCATCTGTAACTTTACATAAAATAATAGCCTTCAATGTAAATTACGAAAGCTTGCTAGCATGTTGTGTAGTTACACCTTCTCCATTATCATTCCAATTTTGTGCAGATTGGCAGGCTAATTTTCATCGGTGAAATGGTAGAAAGTGGACTGAGGGTATTGTTTTGTTGTGATTCATTTGGGAGATAAATCAGCACCCTTGGATTTCAATCTAGCTGTGTTATTTTTTTATTGAAAGTTGTGAAGTCGTAAAAGTTAAAAGAGAAGAAAACCTTGAAGAAATAGGCCAAGTTTTTTTGGAAATTTTGCATGCTCAGTTTAAGGCAATTCGAAATTATTCTGTGTGGAGTTCGAATATAGAGGATCTTCCGGATTATTGGACGTATTGTGTACGCTCTGCGTACATTCTGCTTATATTATACTTACACTCTGTGTATTTATAGATATGCAATAAATTCTTATAACCAATTATGTGTTGCTTATTTACTGGGTATCTACAAATATGCAGTACATATGTATTAAATATGCAGAGTGTAGGTAGAGCTTATGTATAAGGCACGCAGTAATCCGGAAGATCATTTACGTTCATACTCTGCACATAATATTTTTTCCTACTTCTAGTCTTTTTCAGGTTGCCATTCCAGATCTTTTATTTTTGATGTTATAAATGTTTAGATATGAATGGGTATTGAAACTATTCTATTTTTTTTAAATTAAATTTTTTTTTTTTACAAAAAAAAAAAATAAAATCAATCATTTAAATTGGGCGATTGAGATTCATCAAAACCATGAAGATTGGTGAACATTTGAATTCGCCATGTACACCGCAATCCTCAGCCCGGCCCGCCCGGTCTCCGCGCCCGTCCAACAAGTGAAAGACTGCAAACGCCTCAACGCGTGATCTGTTTCAGAGAAAGAAATCGTCGAACACCTCATACACGCGTAAAAATAGCACTGCTACTCCGCCAAAGGTGCCAGGTCCAACCCTAATCAGATTTCCTCCCACCTTCCAATTCAAAAGAAATCCATCCCCCATACCTCTCCTTCTATTTCTAATCGCCTTAATACCCTTCCCCTCTTCTTCCCCCAATTCCTACCAGGCAAAACCCGAATCATTCCTTCTTGATGGGCCGCGGCGCCATGGGACAACTCGGAAGTAATCATCTCCGGCAACTCCGTGACATTTTCTCCCGCTTCGACATGGACTCGGACGGCAGCCTCACCCTCCTCGAACTCGCCGCACTCCTCCGATCCCTCGGTCTCAAGCCCACTGGCGACCAGATCCACGCGCTTCTTTCCAGCATGGATGCCAACGGTAACGGGACCGTGGAGTTCGAGGAGCTGGCGGCGGCCATCACCCCATTGATGAGCGAGCAGGCGCTCGTCAACCAGGAGCAGTTGCTCGAAGTGTTCCGATCCTTCGATCGTGACGGAAACGGCTACATATCGGCGGCTGAGCTCGCGCGGTCCATGGCGCGGATGGGTCAACCTCTCACGTTCTACGAGCTCACCGCAATGATGCGCGAGGCTGATACCAATGGCGATGGTGTCATTAGCTTCAGCGAGTTCGCCGCCGTCATGGCTAAATCAGCACATGACTTCCTCGGCTTCGCCATCTCCTCCTAGGGTTTCGATTCTCCTCCTTCGAGCCCCATCGCCGTCGTCGACATTGGTCGGCCGATCAGTTTGCTTTTTTAATTCTGATCTTAATGGTTAATTTTATTGCTAATTTATAAATCAATGTACAGATCTTTTTTGAAAAAAAAAAAGTCCTGGTTTAGCAATGGTAACTTTCAAAAACTGGATGATTGTTTTAAATCTTCCCTCTGGATTGTGTTTATTTGTTGAAGGGAAGGAGTGGGTGAAGGGATTGACTTCTACTCGCTATTTTATTAATTTCGTGTTTCAGTTTGTTCGGTATTGGCTTTTCTTCTTGCGAACAACTATTGCCGCTTGTAATTTTTTTCTGACAATTTTCTCTTAGCCAAAATTTTGGTTGAATGAGGCTTAGGGTGGTTGGTGTGCAAGCAAGGTTGGGAATGTCATCCCAGATTCGAATCCCCTCTACTACAGCCTCTTCAATGGGGCAAAGCAAGTGTGGGTCCGATGCCAATGGGTGGCCTCACTCTAGTGGAAGATAAGATTAGAGAGTCGTCTTAGATGATTTGGTCATATTAAACGACAGCTTTCCGATGACCTGGTTAGGAAAGTTGGTGTTATATTTGACTTATGTTAAAAAAAGTTAGATGTAGATCTAAAGAGACATAGTTAGAAAATATTAGAAATGATCTTTTGTTATTAGATTTAAATAAGAATTTGATTTTTAACATGACATAATGGAGAAAAAAGGATTCATGTAGCCGACCTCACGTAGTAGGATAAATGCTTGATGTTGTTGTTGTTGTTGTATTGTTGTACAACAATCAAACTGGGCTTTAAAAATATAAATTTTGTATGTAGCTCATCTTGATCAGTTGGTTGGAGATTTTGGCTATTAATCAAGAGGTCTTCAGTTCAAACTTGTATATATAATATAAGAGTTTATTTTAATTACCCTAAACATCCTTACAAAAAAAAGAGACAGATAAAAGAGAATTGTAAAGGCAAATCTCAATAATAACTTGCCACCTGATCTAGAGTTCTCGAAGAGTCAAAGTAATATCTAAAAATCTTACTTGAGTAGTGAAGGTGTGGATTTGGAGAAATTATTGTCCACATCACTGGATGCACTTGCCCACATGGCGCATGGTGATTGGAATCCGAATGCATTCAGATTCCGCACACAATAATTTCTCGTGGATTTGAGGTGTAAAGTTGTGGATGATAATATTGTAATTTTTAAGTTTGCTTTATTACTTAGTTTACATTACTTGCATATTTAGTTAATAATTTGGATTGGAATGTTTTTTTTTTTGGTGAAATTATTGTTCATAATAGTGTGCACTTGTGTAGATTATATTATTTAATATTGATCTTAAAAAATATTTACTCCCCACATTGTAAATAGATTATTTATATCATATATTGTGATTTGATTTGTACACTTCATTATGTGTTTAATTAATTGTATTTGGTCATAGATTTTGTTGATGTATCATTGTGAAGGTTTGAAAGGGTGGATTTTGATAAAGTCTGAAGATCCTAATTCTGTCAAAAAAAAATTTCTGTGACTTAGGCCTCGTTTGAGACTATTTTTTATTGCTTCTTGAAACAGCTTTCTAGTACAAAAGTTGAAATTTTTGTACTAGAAAGCTGCTTTAAGAAGCAACAAAAAAGCCGTCCCAAACGAAGCCTTGTTCAACTAATGGGTTGACCTAACGAAATTGCCCTATCTGGGTTGATCAAAGCATCCAACAATATTGCTGATGATAGCAAGCGATGATAAATTTTCAATCAATAATCTAAATATACCATGTTGTAGGTGTCATTATTGTATCATAATTTTGACTACCAGATTGACAATAATTTTAAAAGGCTTACTTTCACTAAATTATGATCCTTGAAAAAATGGCTATCATGTCCATCCATTTTTTTGTTTTATAAGTTTCTGTTTTCAACGAAATGGAGGCTATTGTCTTTAAGAAGTCTAACATTTTATTTGGGACAGCTTTTGACCACTGCTTTTTGGCTGCTTTTAAGAAATTTTTTTACTACAAAGTTATTTTAGAAAGCAATTAGAAAATTGTCTCAAATGAAGCATAAATCTTCAATAATGAATGTCGCAGTTTTGTTTGATTGGACCCATTAGTATGTTGCTCACAATGATCAGATCCCATGAGTCAGAGATAGATAATCGCTTCATTTTAAGCTTATTTAGCCTCTAATTTTATCTTTTAAAGTAAAGTTGATAATTCGGATCTTCTAAATTTCTTTAGAATGCTTAATACAATTAGTCTTGTAAGAATCGACAATTGTTGATTGACCAAGTTGTAGTTGTAAAGAACGAAGTCTGTAAACTAGCAAGGACCAATACACAATAATGCATTGGAATGAGTCTGCTCAATAAAGCTGCTCAAATGATCCTTAGCGGTGCTGGATCATGTTATAGGTCGACATAGGGTTTGTTGTGTGATAGAAAAGTACCCCTCTATAATAGCTCATAATTTAATCCAAACAAATAATATTTTTAGGAGACATTATAAGTTTAATTTTAAAACTATCTTCGCGATAAGATAGATATTATAGTGTTTTAGTTATAATAATTTTTTTTCGTAATTTTTAAGCACTAGAGCAATTCCTTAAGAAATTGATACGTGTCGTTACAACTGGAGATTTTGGGACTGTTAGGTGTCCGTTTTGCAAACCGATTTCAGCAATTTTTTAAATAAAATAATCTTTTTATATATATAATTTTTAAAGCTACAAAAGAATTTATATGAATTTTATATTGATAATCTATTAAATTATATAATTAAATAATATTATATTATTATTTTTATATTGATAATTTATAGAAGCTCTAGTATATTTTAAAATGATAAATAGACAATTCTTCCAAATTTAATCTTTGGGCGTTGCATCCTAAAACCTAAGGAACAATTGTATAAGGTATAAGATGGTGGTGAGATCTACAATGCTTCATGGTACAAAATGTTGGTTATTAAAAGAGAAGCACAATATTAAGTTAAGTGTTGCAGAGATGAGGATGCTCAGGTATATAAATGGTTTTACTCTTAGATATATGATATGAAATGAGCGTATACGTGAAAAGGATGGAGTAGCTCTAGTGGAAGATAATATTAAAAAGAGTCGCATTAGATGATTTGATAACATAAAACAACAATGAAATAAGTTTGTGAAATGAATATATGACAATCCCAAAACATCCATTTGTGCTGATAGATGTAAATTTCTTAAAGATTTATACTAATGCCAAAAAATTAGGAGAAAATTAGTGTAATTAAAGCACTACAATATTTATGTTATGACGAAGACGAATTGTAATTTAAACTTATAATGACTTCCAAAAAACTTTATTTGATTAACTCAAAATAAGAATTATTATAGTTAATTATGTAATTGATTGACTGAATTACACCGACGGAATAGAGATGACACTTCTTCATTGATTATTAAAAATCACATGTGAATTATCTTAAGATAAGAAACAATGATGGCATGATAAAGACTGATGACCAACTGGTCGATAGTTGGTTCGATTAAAGACTAATGATCAACTGGTCGACAATTGAGATGGAAGGATAAAAATACCACATTAAAGTTGAATATTATTGATTGCTATTTATAATCGCATTCATGATTGTATTTATATACATAAATTCATTGATAGGTAAAATTGAAATAGAACTAATAGAACTTGCATTAATACTAATATAATATAACATAATATATAACAACGACATTGATTGGTATATTGATATAGTACACTAAAAAACAGATTGATATAGCATACTGTCATGACATATTGATAGACATTTATACACGACATAATGATTGATAAAAAGCATGTGATAAAAACACATCACAAATATAACTGATAGATAATTGTGGCTTATTTCACTCTAAAACACATGTTATTAATTGATATTCTTTTTATTGATCTTAATATAGATTAATAGACTTCTTTTGCTTATTGAATAATTTGATTTTATTGATCATATTGATTTTTCCAATTGATTGATATTCATATATTACTTATATTATATATATATATATATATATATTACTTATTATTCATATTGATAGTTTATTGATTGAAATTAATTGGAACTGGAGTAGACATATTGATTCTTTTGTCTTGCATTGAATGCATTAATAAGTTTTGGTTATTTGCTCGGCTATATGATAATTATATCAATTTATATGATTCAGATAAAAGTAAGAAGTCTGCAAATTGAGGCTAAGGAATGATGATAGAATAAATTTTATTTTCAACTTTTTAGTTTATATATATATTGTAGCCTGTTGTGGCTATTGTATATATAATTTTGAACTTTGGACTTTAAATCATGATATAAATATTAGTTGTGGTAATATAATTATATTTTTCATTATTTGTATTTTTCTTGCATATAATTAGCCAACACTGGCTATCAATGATATGCTTGTTAATGAATTGAAAAGAGCAAGTATAATAAAAAAGAAAAGAAGATAAAATTCTTTCATTTTAAGTCCCGGGATATCATAGTATGTGTGTGCAATGATTTAGCTACCATGACAAAAATAAGCTCAACATTCATATTAAGAATAAAAAACGCCTAGTAATTATTTTGAAAGCTTTTGAAGCAACTTGATTTGTTTAAAAAACAAAAATCATTTGCAAAACACTAGCTGAATATGTTTTGTCCATTTTTTTAATAAAAATATAGAAACAAAAAGTATATTTGTTTAGTGAAGAGGTAACTTACCAAATATCTCCTCTAGACATCTCAACGGTATGATTTAGGCTCTGTTTGAGACGGCTTTTGTACTACTTTTTAAAACAGCTTTTTAATAAAAAATTAATAATTTACAGCTTCTTGAACTTGATCCCTAAGAATTATATAATTTAATTAACTTACCAGAAATACACCGAGTGTAATATAACAACTCTATAGAGGCAATAATAATGGCACATAAATAAATAAGCATATTAAGAACTTCCTTCCCATCTTCTAATACATCATTCTTATTAGGGTTGCAAACGAATCGAGCCGAGCCGAGTATGTGAGTGTTCATGTTTGTGTTCATTTAATATCAGGTTGTTCAAGTTTGGTTCATATTTGTCGAGCTGTATTGTTTGTGTTCATGTTTGGTTCATTTAAAATAATGACTGTTCATGTTCGGTTCATGTTCAGTTCATGTTCGTTCGTTTAGTGCTTATTGATCTTTAAACAAACAAATATGAACGAGCTATAAACGAGCTCTACTTTTAAATGTTCATTAACTTAACAAACGAGCTTTATCGAGCTTCCTAACAAATGATTATATCGAGCATGTTCGCGAACATATCTAACAAATTTTTTTTAACTATCAAACAAACACGTTCATAAACATATCTATAAACAAACACATTTATAATAAAAGCAATTGTCTATGTAATAAATGCAATGATTTATAAGCAAATCCCATCTTCTTAGAATTTTCCTAATAGCAGCATTAATAAAGGCAATGGTTTATAAATAAATAGCCATATAAAGCTACAATTATTTAGACAATAAGTTAAGTAATATTTGATACATGCAGCAATTACTGATCCAGTAATAACTAGTGGCCACAAAAGGATTGCTCTTGCTTCTTGAGAGGTTTTTTTTCGTGCTTTCTTAGTAAAAGAATTTTCTTGTTGGACATATTCTATTACAACTGTTGGACTTGAAGATGACCCAACACTAATTTGGACATCATGAACTGTCAATCCTAACTGCTTTGGTGAATTTTCAGACATACATTTAAAAGAGAAGTCAACGATTATATTAAACATGAATCATATTTGCTAGTGCATATATTCAAATTCAAAATCGAACACAAATCAAGCTTCTTATCGAGCTTAATGCGAGCTTGTTCACGAACTTCAAATGATGTTGTTCACGAACATAAATGAGCCGAACACATTAGTGTTCAAGCTTGTTTATTTAAGAATCTAGTATTTAAAATATTGTTCAAATTTGTTTGTTTAGTTAATTAAACAATCACGAACGAGCTTTAAATGAACCGAAGAACAACGAGTAGCTTGTGGCAGCCCTAATTCTTGCGAACATAAATAAATAACAAGTTCCTTATCTTTATATGAGTTGTCCCAAATCTTATATCACAGCTGCTATTGTGAGTGGCAAAACAAAGGGAATTCTTTCCAACTATATAATAATTTCTCCTCTGTTAGGGCTTGGCTAAGATCAGGAGTGAAGCAGGTGGGTTGGCCTCACACGAAGCAATGGGCAGCTTGGCGGCCACTTCATGGCCTCCTCTCTCCTTCTCACTCCTTCCCGGTTCGCTCACCACCGGCAGCCGAGGAACAAGAGCTTCTTCTCGGGTAAGGCTAAGGATCGGCGGACCGGTGGCTTACATGGAGAGAAGCCCAAACTCACTAACAGGATTCGCGAGCAAGCTGATCGGGTCTCTGCCGATTGTGGGCCTTCTAGCCAGAATTGTTAATGACGAGGGAGGTGTTGGAGACGACCTGATAGACTTCGCCGAGTTTCGGCGACGGGTGGGGAAAAAGTGCAGCATTACTGATTCTCGCGCCTTCAATGAGTTTAAAGACCGCCGCGGCCGGGTACGATTACTTCCCTCCGTTACTGTGATGTGCTTTTTTGCTACTTGAACGTGAAGCTTCTGAAGCAGGAAGCGGGCAAGTAGCAGGATTTTATTTTGATGGTGGAAATTGAAAACAGCAGAATCTTCTGAAACCAGCTTGCTAGGGATTAATTTTAAGAGGAATGTTTTGGTTTCAGGTTTGAACTATATAGGTTCCTGAACTTTTTTTTTCCCTAGTTTGAAGTGATTTGGGTTCAGCAGAAAACATTTAAGCATCTCAAGTCAGTTCTCAATAAACTCTTATTTACTGCGCAATGGGAACGTTGGAGGGGGTGGGGTGAATTAGGTGAACAGCAGGTTATGTCAAGGCTGAGTGAATAAGTTACAGGTGATGGGGGCGATATTGACAAAAGAATGCCTGCCAAATAACCAAAGACTTGAATGGAGGTTAACTATGGTCTTCATGTTAGAGTTTGGAGGAGGTAAGTGGGATAGCCTTTTTAGTGAAGATAGGTTCTATTTGTTGGTGATGCTGGCTACTGTTGTTTGGGGATGGAGTTCCTCATGAAGGAGAAGAGCATGACTTAGCAATGATCCGCCAATAATCATTCCACTCAACAAGTGTGTTAATTACATGTGCCAAATAGTTGAAGAATGCTTGGTATCTAATAATAGCAACAATATTCTCAACTATGAATTCTTCTACAAATTAACCATACAACTGCTCTGAGTTCCTTTAAATTAATATTACATTTGTGGCTATGGTGGAGAAATTGTTGTATTTCATCCTTACCCTAGATTGGAAGGGCCAAAAGCTCATAACATATTCAAAATTTTATTCTTTTTCACTACCATTAGGATTTGAGCTAAAGAAGCTTGTTCTAACCATGAGGCTCCTATGCTAGTTAACTTGATGCCCCAGTTGATGCATCCCTCAGAGTTGGCTCTAGAAATCTAAGTTATGAGGTAGTGTAGGGCCTTAGGTTGCCATAGGCTCCCCTTGGATTGAACTTATTCAAGGGCCTGGAGACTTACTAGATCCAATGGATTTGACATAATATTTTACCAACTTTATTAAGATCTGAAGCAAAGTAGCTAAACCTAAATTAGGTTGATTACTTGAGGAAATAACATAAAAATCCAAATATAAGTTACAATTCATTCAAATACTATTGAAAATAGATAAAAATCAATACGACACAGAAAGCCCTCACTTTTACAAGGATATAACATCTCTCGCAACTCTTCAACTCTCTTAATCAAGGAATTGAATCCCGAAAGTAGTATGAAGATACATCCTACTTAAAATTATATTCAAGTACTAAATATTATGTTTTGTACATTCCTTAGTCTCCTATTTATAATTACAAAGCCTCATAATAGACTTCCCCTTAATTAGCCTTTAATAAAAGATATGAGAAATTGTATCTCAAAACTCTTCAATTCTCTCACTTGATCAATAATAAAATCTCAAAAAGTAGAAGAAAAGCATGTCCAACTAAAATTTATATTCAAGTACTAATTATTATGTTTTGTACTTTCCTTACACTCTTATTTATAACCACAAAATCCCATAAAAGAATTCCTGTTAATTAGTCTTTGGGCCAGACAGGTGTTCTCACGCATCAGAAACGAAGAAACGGTAGAAGATCGACAAGTAGCAGATGGAGGCGTAGCTGGGAGTGTTTTGGGAGCTCTCATGCAAGCCTCATGGAGACAGAACATAGTGGTAGAAATGAGGAATAGAGGTAAGTTTTAGGTGTGGGATGTGTATTTTAGGAGTTATGGGTTTTAGATTTGTAAATATGCAAATTTAGAGTGCGATGTAGGAAAACCTAGGGGTGTAAAGTAGTCCATTCGAGCTCAAGTTAGCCCTAGGTTTAGCTTGAGCTTGACTAATTAATTGGGTTCAAGCTCAACCTCGAAATTTATTCTACAAGTTCAAGTCAGCTCACGAACAGACTCGTTTATTACGAAAGAGAGAAAATGATTATGATTTAAGCAATTATTATAATAAAATGTTAAAATGAATGAAAAATTAAAAAAAATAAAGAATTACATAGTATAAAAAATTGTGATATAATTTTTAAATATTTTAAACAACTTTGTATTCAAAATCCTGAATTCTAATATTTTTTAAGTATATTTTATATTAATATTTTTTAAATGAGCCAGCTTACAAATAAAGTCGGGACTAGCTCAAACTTGGCTCATTAGTTTATCGAGCTTAGCTCAAGAGTCGCCTGACTCTTACATATTTTATAATACATTCTGCAGCCTTAGTAACTGTTGTAAGTTAAGCATTGTGCTTAATGTAGGCCGGGGATCCATTTTATGTCCTTTTGTGCTGTTGGTTGGCTGCTATTGGTGCTGGTCTTCTGAAGTCCGAAGAGATCTTGGAAGGGGTAGCTAGACTTCGCATTTCCAATGATATTGAATTTGAAGAAGAGACTTTTCTTGCAACTATGAAAGCTGCTAGAGAGGTAATATGATAAATACTTTGTTTTGTTTTTTATATTGGGTGAATTGTAAGCTATATTGATCTATTTGCTCTTTGTTTTGACTTTTTATCATAATTCATTCCTATTTTATCTTCATTTTTAAACATTTTCTTTAGATATATTTAGATAGCTTGAAACGCTAGGCATCCACAAATTGGCTTTAGGTGTGTGTTTAACTGTGTGTGGGCGATTTTTATAAATTTTTGTAACAATTTAAGCATTCTTTGAGCAACTGATAAAATAACGATGATTTCATTTCATATAGGATCACACTTAAGTCTTGTTTTACCATTGTATTTCACCATTTTAAACCATTAAAGACACTCAAAATATATAAAATTTAATATATTTATTTTGGGTAAATATATCAATACTTTTGAATTTTAATTATCTTTTTCATACACTTTGAGCCATTCTTCAAGAAAATTTTTATGCATAAGATCAATGAGCAAATGAACTTAAATGTTCTTGAAATCGTTCTTGCCACTAGTTTGAGAGAATGGACATCATTAATTTGGATCAAGCGATTTGGCAAGTTTGTACACGGGGGTTCTTTATTTTGTAAATCCAAAGTTCACTGCAAGATCTTTTAATTGTGTTAATCTAAACTATGAAAGATAACACAAAATCAATGTTATGATTGATCAAAACCAAAACCAAAACCAAAAAGAGGAGTAGAGTGGGATGACCAAATGCTTTGGAGATGCACTTGGATGGTCGTTTAGAGGAGGCGGAAAGACATGTTGAAGTATTGATCTACAACAAATCAAACCTCATAAAACTAGTGATTGGAAAAAAAACACTTTGCTTCCATATGCCCGAGGACTTCTCAATCACACCGCATGATGAAAGAATGCCATTTATTAAATGCCTCTTTTCTCTCACATACCACTTGGTTCTCTTTGAAAATCAATATGCAGTTTCAAGAAATGACTTTAGTAACCCTCATTGCATCTGAGTGTCCATCATCTGCAAGGTCGTACTTAAATATTTGAACATATGCATTAATTACTTGAATAAAAGATGTTTGATGTTGACATTTTACTAATTGGTAGGAATTTGCTGACATATGAAAGTTGTTTCGGTGGTATTGAGTGGAAATTTTGAAGATATGAATGTAGTGTGATTTCCATTTCCACCCCATCATGATAAAAGTTTGCACACCATAATATTTAATGTCAGCTATCCACATCAGCTTATGTATGTCACTTTTCACTGTTTGGAGTATTAGTCTATATGGCTTCGTCACTTCAATGCAATCCTATTTGACAATGTATGATTAAGATATTTGATAAGTTTAAAACAATATGAAATGCCACACAATCATATAGTGTCTATTTTGGAATACCTCAAAAATCGAGGTCTAGAGGCTTCACAACTTCAGTAAAGAAATTCACTGGAACGTCCAATCTAATAGAGAAGTACTTTGTGATAACCTCAGTTGAATAGTAGAATCGCTCATATGTCATACTTTATCGACTCATTATGAGAAAAGAAGTAGAAAGTGATGGGATACAAAGCTAGATGAAACATGCAAATAACGAACACTTTGCAAGTCACTCAAAAGATCAATAAATTTTGATTGTAACATGCGAAACATAAAATAGAACTTCCCATGATGAATTGAAAATAGCTCGCTTTCCATTTTCCTCCAATAAAAGGCTAAGATCATGTATGGAGTCTTACAAATATATGTTTTGTGACACTCATTTATTAGACATATAACCACTACTATATTTCTGAACAAGCATATTTATTTTTTACTCCCTCATAATTTTTCATCATTGCATGCAAAATTAGATAGGGTGTCAATATTTGACACGACCTGAAAACATGACTCGAACCCGACCCAAAAATTCCGGGTTAGGGTCAATCCGGACCTGAAATGAGTCGGGTTTGAGTTCAACAATTTAACCATTTCAAAGATCGGGTCGGGTTCGGGTTGACCCTTTGACCTAACATTGACCCGAAAACCCGAGATTGACCTATTTTTTACCCGAAAAATGGAGATTGACCCATTTTTTTGACTTGAAAACTAGCAATTTTTATTGGCCCTCGGGTCATTCGGGTCGTGCAAGGTTGACCCGGACCCGAAGCGAGTCAGGTTGGGTCCGAAAAGCTGACATGTTTGCAAAAGCAAGTCAAGTTTGGGTTGACCCGAATAGTATCGGGTCAATTCTGATTCGACCCGAACCCGACCCGTTACCCGAAATTGACACCCCTTGAATTAGACTTCTGATGCTTGATTTATGCTTGTTTGCATGCATTTACTCGCAGAAAAGGGCAAAGATGAAGGCAGCTGCCCCCGAAATTCCGATTGAAATTCGAGTGGAGAAGGCTTTCGAAGCTATCTATGTTTGCTGTTTTGGTAAAGATCCTATCGAAGAAGAGGATATTATGCTGCTCTGTATCATGCTCAATGCGGTATTCCCTTCCGTTGGGAGATCAGCGATAGACAGAGTAGTAAATTCGGTAGCAAACGAAATAGCTAAGGGTAATCGAGCTAATTTTTCAGAGCTGAAGCCATTACCCAAAGAGGCTGTGGAGCGGCAAATGAAGGATTTGGAGTTTCTTAGGCAAGGAAGTGAGGAATCCAGTTGACACCACGTTGTGCAGTATTCATTTTTCCACTTCTTATTGTATAATGCACAAGAAAGAGGAAATATGTTGACGCCAATCTTGTGAATACTCTTCATTCTCTAGTGCTGTTGATCTTCTTTAAACATTGGGTATGTTTAGGAAAGCTGTTTTATTTTTTATTATTTTTTTATTTCTTTTGTAAAATTTTTATAATTGGAAGCTGTTTTATACAACTAAAATTATTGATATATGATAATTTTAAGAAAGTATGTTTTTAAAAAAGAATATATTTATAATGTCAAATCAAAACAGCTTTTAAAAAATTATTTACAATTACTTCTACAATATATTGCAGATATATCCTTAAACGGTGAGGCTTTAATTGGACCCTAATTTTTTTTATTTTAGTTGGCATTTCCATTTATCACCTAAAATGTATTTTTTTTTATTGACTTAACTTTTTGTGAAAATATTTTTTAAGTATTATTTAATAAATTAAAATAAGTAGAAGTGAAAATATATACTATAGGAAAGTCTCCGAATAATTACTTTATGCATTGAATTTAGTGGTTCTTTCAATTTATGTGATAAAATTTTTGCTAATAAAAATTTAATCAACAATCCACCCGTCTGTTTACGTTTTATTAATTCGAATCTCTTAATCATGTCATAACAAAAGTGGTATCAGAGCCTAAGAAGGATTTTAGGAATTTAAATTGTAATAAAAGAATCATATGAATGCTTTATGAAATTATTTGTGAAAATTTTAAAGATTCAATTAGATAATATAATTATTTAAACTATAAATATATCAATTATATGGATAATCAAAAGGGAGTAGCTGATAGAAATATGAAAAGAGAAGTACCACCTTAGAGTAAATAGATTTAGGTAAATTTTTATTGCATCGATGCAAATCCCTAAGTTATTAAAAAAAAAAAAAAGTTATAAACGAGTAGAAGAAAATCAAAATCAAATTTGGAAGCTTTTCATGCTGGCAAGCTTGACCATTAGGTACGCATCGAAGGGAACAAACATTGAAGATCAGTATTAACCGCAAATGCCAGAATAGTAACAAACATGCTTGTTAGAAAATCTGTTAAGAGAATAAACAACAAAATTTTGACAGCAGTGCTTTGCAAAGATGTACTATCAGCACATTTCACAAAATAAAATAAAATAAAACAAAATAAAAAACATTAAGTAGGACATCCACACGCTGAAAATTTAAAGCTTACTAGTAATCTACTCTGGAAGCATCTGCTCGTTATCTGCATCTCCTTCTTCCTCAACCTTAGGCTTTGAAGGAGTTGGCCCAGCACCTGGAGCTTGCTTCTTCTTGATCCCACTAACGATGTCATCAATTCTCAGCAACATGGAAGCAGCCTCAATAGCAGTCTTAAATGTTTGCGCCTTCACATTGTAGGCATCCCAGATCTGAACAGTAATGATGGTCGATCAAATGGAGAACAAGACAAGTTCAAAATGAAAGAAAGGGTTGTCATAGAATATACCTTCCTCTCCTTCATGTCAACAATGGCACCACTATTCCCATCAATGCCAACCCATGCATTTTCACCATTTGCATGCTGATAAAGATGAGCCAAAAAATATTAAATAACATTAAAAAATATCATATTTTTAATCAGGTACCAAAAGAGCTTAAGGATTTTTAAAATGTACTGCCGTTACCTTTCCTTGCAGAGCTGTCATTGTCCTGATGACATTGACTCCACAATTTTGAGCTAAGGTCCTTGGAATTGCCTCAAAAGCTACAGCAGCAGCTTCATAGGGCCACTGTTTGATCATCAAACAGGTTCAGTACTAAAATGATCATGAACAGAAATTGCAAAGCAAAGAAGTAGTGAAATCCAGTACCTTCTCAATGCCCTCAATTGATGAGCTCTTCTGCTTCAATGCTGCAGACACAGTCATCTCAGTAGCCCCTCCACCAGGAACAAGCTTAGGATTTTTCAGTATGTTTCGTGCTACTGACATAGCATCCTATAGATGAAAATGCCTCAATATAGTACAATTAAATATATTGTAGGCAGTTAACACAGAAAAATATAAGGAAATTTCCAAATTTTTATGTATATCTATCACCTAAATATTTATATTTACAAAATTAACATCCTAATCTTTACATGACATCAAAAATACCACTAAGATTATACATAAAAATTTAACGATTTGTATGTAAATTCCCTAAAAAATATAATACCTGCAGATTTCTTTCAACTTCATTCAGGAGATCCTTGCTAGCACCTCTCAAAAGAACAGTGCATGCTTTAGGTTCCTTGCAATCCACAATAAATGCAAAGAATTCGTCTCCAATCTTCCTGACCTCAAAAAGTCCTGCTCCAACACCAACATCAGATTCTTGCAGCTCATCAGGCCTGTTAACAATTACAGCGCCAGAAGCTTTTGCAACCCTATTGTTGTCCGTCTTTCTCAGTCTACGGATAGCAGTAACTCCAGCCTTGCTTAAATAGTGGCTTGCAAGATCACTCAGCCCTTTTTCCGTTATAACCAAGTCAGGCTTGAATTTTAGAATCTGTGCGCAGAGATTCTGTATATATTCCTCTTCCATTTTCAGGAGAACCTCCCTACAAATTAAACAAAAAAACTACTCTATAAGTAAGAAAAGGACAAACGTAACTTAAACTAGTATACGATGGATATTTATGGTGAATAATTTCAAGAATTATCAAGGTAAATACATACAGATTCTAATATTGGAGAAATTATTCCTTGCGGAGTCCAGACGGTAAAGAATTGTCTGGATGTGAGTGTACATAGTGTTTGTACACATTGTGTACAAAAAAAAACTAAATTGTGTACAAAATTATACTCAGTTTACACACTGTATAAACTCACATCCGGACGGTTCTTTACCGTCCGAACTCCGCACGGAATAAGTTCTCCTAATATTGACATCAAAGAAGTCAGTATTTGAAGGAATGACGAGAATTAAATCTTACCAATCATCTTCCTTCACCAGTTCAGCATTCGTTTGGTTCTCTCCCTTTTTATATTCAAGGGGGCAGTCAAGTAGAATAATGCGTGGGTTCACAATCCTTCTTTTCATTTTTCCCGGAGCAACAACATCTTTATTGAACATGACACCTTTAAGAACCTTTGAATCTTCCAACTGTCCACCAGGAACCTTCTCAACCTTTATATATTTCTTTATGTCAACCTCCCGTACACCTTGCCCTAGATCCACGCCAACTGTGGAGGTAGCATCAATTGCAAGATCCTATCAGTGGAAAGACATTTAAAATTTAATATCTTCGAACAGATCCCTCAAAATACAAAAATTCAAAAATAACTAAGAAAGGCAAAAACAAGAATTCATTCAAAATGCCCTTCCATCCGGCATTAAGATAAAATCTTGACATTTTATGATTCCGTGAATACATCAATACTAATGTAACAGAAGCTAAATAAAACTAAAAAATAGACATCAATCTCCAATACCAAGTAAGAATGATTTAAATACATCGTTAATATGCAGAGAATATAGTATTCTTGGTAATTTAATGAACAGAACCAGAAAGAAAACCTGAACATCAATAATAAAGACTAAACCTTACAGCAATTAGATCGCCAAATTGTCCAGTAAACTTAGTGCCGATGCAGCTTTTAACAAGGCTTAACATTGTAGCGCCTGAAAAAAAAAAGAACAATATCCATTTTCCAATAACAAAATTGCAACCACAAATTTTGAGGGAGAATGAAGTTCAGTAAAGAATACAATCATCAGGAGAATGCATGATTGTTGGAGCCAGGAAGAGCAGCAAAGGCTCCAACCTCAATTAAAACTAGGCTATGTGCTTGGCTCAAAGATTAAATATCACTCAAAAAAATTTTGATCTTTAGCTAGGATCAAACTCATATCAAAGTGAATGGACTGACTAACAAGCCAGCTTGGATCAAGTCAAACTCGACTTTAGTCCGGCCAAGCTTTGGATTGAGCTAGCTTGAGATTGGATCAAAATGTATGTTGGATTGGATCCCATAACAGTCCTAATTAAAACTATTGATTGAGTTGTATAATATCAACTTACGGTCATTTACATCAATCTGAATAGCTATCTTGTCAAGAGCTGCAATAGCATCTTCTAAAGCTCTGTTGTATGCTGAGACCATGAAAAATAAGATAGCTTTTAATAATAGGATAAATACATGAAAATACAAAGAAGAGAAAACACTTAACAACAAAGTAAGTCTCATAGTACCTCTACAAATGACTGTCGGATGATAATTCTTATCAATGAATGCTTCCGCAACATGAAGCATCTCACCAGCTTCGAAAAATTTAGTGGGTAAGCTTTTTGTTGTAAACAATACATGATATATGAACTAGATTAACAGATAACAAAAAAGAAAATATAATATATTTGGGACACTCCTGTATTCAACAACCTAGTGACACATTATTATTATTTTCAAGCTGAGTAAATTGGTCGCATTTTTGAAAGCTTGTAATTTAACTTAGATAGATTGGTTACCTAGAACAATAACAGAGGTTGTGCCATCTCCAACTTCTTCATCTTGTGTACGGCTAAGCTCAATCATTGACTGTGGAGAACAACAGAGAGTGATGTAATTAGAAAAAGAAGACCAGAGTAGGTCAACTACAAATGCAATGGATAGTTTCTTCGCAGTGCAACTAAGTCAATAAGCATCTATGTTTGGCAACAACTCACCTTAGCAGCTGGGTGTGCAAGATCCAGCTCACGTAGTATAGCATTTCCATCATTAGTTACTACAATTCCTGTAAATACCATCCATGATTTATTTAACTGAGAAAAGAAACCACTATCTCAAATTAAACAGTGTAAAATGTAATTTGACTATTCCAAGCAAACAATTGAGAGATTGGAGGCTTTTAAAATACATACTATAAAAAACAAGAAAAAAGTGCCACATCAAAATTTCTTTACATCACACCAGTTAAGATGCCACTTCAATGTAAAACTAAAAACGGATTTAGGAGCGGTTTGATTTGATGTAAAGTGAATGAAGCATAAAATAAATATTGAGGTTGTCTGGTTGTCTATAAAGTGAATGCAAGTAAGCTGTTTTTTTCTATTTGATTGGGTGTATGCAGAGTAAAGTAAAATCAGCCCATTGCCCTCCACAGATGACACACCTAGCGGCTTTAGGTTCCCACATGAGGTGGTCCGGCCATCCTGCGGCTCCAGGTTCCCACACGGAGTGGCCAAATCAACAAGGAGTGGAAAGGCATACCTTGGAGCAATAGGCAGACCTCTTGTCCAATCCCGAATTCCGCCTCCGACTGCTCCAACACCACACACGAACGATATGCATATGCTACATGTGCTCTCCTGCGTCGTTGTCCGACCCAACACCCGCATCTAGTGGAGTAACACGGTGGAGACATAAGTGGATGACTCCTTAGCCAAGAGGTTGTTACGTCCAGCTCCTGCACATGCGAGCGAACGAACGACCGACTCTCGTCTCACATGAGCAAACAAACGCCTTCGCCTACTCCACGCACTCCCTCCTTATAGCCCGTCTCACACGAACAAGACCCGAAGTCACACCTCTCACAACTCTTACCACGTGTGAACCTGCACCGTTCGGCCTCCTGTTCGTCGATCTTTTGCGATTATTGCACACACTGCCTATAGGTACGCCCGCAGAATTCCTTTTTCGCTCGGTTTTGAGCGGGTATGCTTTACGTGGAGAATACACTAACGCAGGTAGTTAGAAATACACTAGGAATTTAGTTTGCTTTACCTAGTAACCAACCAAACACTAAAAAATGAAAAAGCAAAGCATTTAATATGCTTTGTATTCACTTTACAGCCAACTAAACAGCCCCTTGAACAAAGAAACCATAGTAAGATCATAGAACAACACATAACTAGTCTGCACACCTTTGATGAAAAATATAGCAGTTGAACAAAAGCACATTCAAGTAAGACAAATAGTGATCACCATCAACAACATAATCACTAACTTGGAACAAAAGACAAACATTTGGTATGGGACCAAATGCACTTACTCCTAGATACTAACACTGGAGTTAAGAACTTATTTCCCTTTTTCTGTTGGCATATAGAGGCTTTCTTTCTTTTCTTTGGTCAAGGATGGCAAAAAAGGCCATTTTTTTATAGAACAACCGTTCATATAACATGATTTTGCTTTAGAAAATACTAGGAAAGTACTGGTAGAAACAAGGATAACTTATCCTTGCATCATATTTGGCACGCAAAACCTTTCAGCCATTCTTCACACCTCAAAAAAAAAAACTCATATCATTCATTTAAATAAGAATAGGACAAAACGTTACCAGCACTTCTCAATGTCTTAAACAAGTTGTGTTGCTAGGAAGGAGCTACCTGACACTGCCAACCGACAATGTAAAGTGATTGTGCTTGTTGTGGAATATATCGGAACGTTGCATTGTATTTAGGGTTTTTTTTTTTTTTTTTTTTTTTTTTTTTCTTTAGAAAAAGGATTCATGTAGCCGACCCCACGTAGTGGGATAAAGGCTTGATGTTGTTGTTGTTGTTGTTGTTGTCATGTTGTCTCTCTTAAGGGTGCATCTGTTTCCTCATTAGTAAAAATAGCACTTAATAGTTCCTTATAGAAAATGGGAGAGCATAAAATCATTTTACCCCAGCTGAATTACCTCCCCACTTTAGCTGCCCCCAACTTTAGGGTAGCAATCAGTGCCTGTAGAAGGAAATCATACATACCCCAAATTAAAGTAAATGCTACAACTCCTCTACAAATCTAAATAATAAATCCCTCATCTCAAGCTAGAAGTTTAATCTTCAAAGCTAACTCAATTTAATTTATTGAATAAAAATTGAATGGGTTGTTTGGTTGCACGAAAAAGAAATACACTGTAAAAAGAATACTTTGGAATTGTTTGAATGATTATAAGAGGAATGCATGAAATTTTTTTTTTGTTCGATTTGAAGTAAAATAAATGCATTGTAAAGTGCAAAAGAAGGTTGTGGCCGGCGGGTGGTTGGCAGTTGGCGACGTCGGATGTGGCGGCCGGCAATGCAATGAAGGTGAGTTTGCGGTGTATTTTGAAATCACCCAAATATGATGAATTCCAAATACATTGGATTTGAACTAGATATTAAATTCCATTTACTTCAAAATTTTACTTTGCATTCCTTTTACTTCAAACCAAACACCAATATTTAGAAAACCCTTGCATTTGGAATATTTTACACCCCTAATGCAGCAAACCAAACCAAACCACTCCTAAGTAAATATCATGCAAGTCACTTTGATTGGCTCATGCTTCACAGAAATCCATCCATCCAATTTGGTCTTCAATGTTTACATCAAGTTTCATATAGGTCTTTCTGTTGATAGAATTGTTAATTGAGCTTAAAATATGCTAGATATCTTCATGAATGTTAACATCGCAAATACCCATACACTTTTTCTTCCATTTCCCTATCTTCTTCTTTGATGAAGAAATCACCCCTCCTCTTTGCTCCTAGAGTTGGCTATCTCCAAACAAGCTCTAGTGATTTCAGATGATGATTTGAAACTAATACAATTACATTAAAGATGGTCATAAACTTCCAATAACTTGCAAATAGCAAGAGCAACTATTCTAATTTGCAGGCCTCAAGCAAAAAACCTAATGTCTAAACAACATACAATGTTGCAACCATAAGAAAAAAAGTTTAAATAGTCATGTGATGAGGACATCCAACCATAGAGAATCTACCAGAGAAGGGACCGACGATTTATGGCCACGATCATGCCACTTTATTTTTGAGCTATTATTTGTATTAGATTTATTATCATTATATGTGTATTTGATTTATTATATCAATTTTTCCGTTTTTACCCTCACTTGAGAGAGTAGTTGTTTGTGACCCTTAGGGGTACCTTTGTCTTTATTTTACTATTGTAACTTGGCTATTTATAACCCCTCTTCTTTGGTGAGGATAATGATGATCATTATGAAATTTAAGTGCTTGAGCTCCTTTATAAGTTTTGAGAGTTCTTGTGAGAACCTTGATGAGGTTCCTAAATGAGGGCAACGCATTACCCATCAGCAGTAGAAAGCGTCTGGGCTCATGGTTCTCCTCCTTCCCTTTCTCCTAGCCACCAGCCACCCTCTCTTTTTCTCCAAACCACCGGCCCAACACCCACCTCCCTCCTAGCCGTCAGCCCAAAGCCTTCTCCTTCCTCCTAAACAGCCGGCCTCCACTTATCCTCCCTCTCAGCCGCCGGCCCAAAGCCCCTCCCCCTCCCTCCCCTAGCTGTCAGCCCTAAACCCTAATCCCCTCCTAGCCGCCAGCCACATCTCCCCTCCTTTGCCTCGAAATTTCAAATCCCTAATTGATTACTTTACATATGTGATGCATCTTAAATTAGGAAGGTTTTAATTTCAGATTTTAATTCAATTCGAATTTGAAATTCTTTCTTAAAATAAGAGAATTTATATTAGGAAAGTCCCTCCAATCAAGGCCTTTTAAATTCAAATTAGAGAGACAATTGCATTAAAGCCTCTTTCTCCATTTAGATTGGCTTTGATTGGCAATCTATCTCAATCCCTTAATTCCCTCCCACATCCCCTCTCCACTCCCATAGTCGCCGGCCCCCTTCTCCCTCCCTCTTCCCCTCTTTGCTCTCTCCCATTAAATCTCCCCCAAATCAATCCCTCCCAAATTAATTTCAGATTTTCTATTTGCTGGAATTAATTTCAGATCCACAAAATCTGAAATTACATGTTATGCTTCCCCCTCCCTTGAATGGCTGATTCGGAGCTTGATCACGGCTTCATATTCGACAACCAAGGGTTCATTGACATCAACCGATCTCCTTTCTTCGACATTGACCTAGAGAACGATCTCTCCGTTGAAGATTACGTGGAACGAATTCTCTTCTTCCTAGCCACCGCTATCGATCAACGACAACCTCCTGTTCAGTGGAAACTTACTTCTGAATCCTGGCAAAGGTGAACTCTCTCCCGAATCTTATTTCTTTCAAGTCTCTCTCAATTGTGGCATCTCAAAGATCTTGCAAGCTTTCTTCGCTTAACCAGTTATTAAGAGTGAGAGTGAGGGATTTACATAGTGACTATTCTAAAAGTTAATTAAGGGATTTCTTTCGAAAATCCCACATTAAGCAAAATCTGATTTGATTGGTTATCTTGTACTCTAAATCTTTATCATGTATTATATTGCTTGAACTAAATCAATACTTTAGTATTTTCATTCATTGTTTAAGTCGTTGGAATTTGGAAGTGACTCATTGCTATTGCTCTTTCAGAAGCGTATAATTTCAAAGGTAAAACATCAATAAACACATTTAATCCTACATCATCATGATTATAAGTTTATATTGTCATACAGAAAATATCACTATTTGCCATAGGAATACACTCTAATATTTATTAATAATATATATTTTTTCATTATTGAAGATAATCATTCTTTATTGTTCTCTTCATTTGCCTATATGTAAGCGCATATATACTTGCACTATAAAGACAATTAAATATATATTAATTTCCAAGTCTGCCGACCTTCCAACAATTTAAACCCATAAGTACAATTGCTAGAAGTACTCCAATATTAACTAAACAACAATAATTCTAAAACATAACAATGTGAGTAACAATTAGGCATAAAAAGAAAGCCATGTTAATTAAACTTAATATGAGTTCTGAAAAGAAAGGTAACATGAAGATATTGATGACTAGGAAAAAAAAAGAAAAAAAGAAGAAGACATTTTGATACTAGACATTACCTCCACTAGCATCAAGTAGCATTTTCAGCATGGACCGAGGCCCCAAGGTAGTGCGAATTATATCAGCAACAGCCTATTCAACGAAAAAAATAAATATAAATATGGTCAAGATGGAAATAACAAAACATTAAAACAAATAGATTGACATAATTCAATACTGTCCTACAACTACAGTATGTAATAATAATAATTGCTTCAACACTATCCACAAGAATATGCAGATATGACCTGCACGTAACTGCACACATTAATATGGTATATAACTCTATTTTAGTAATTGCCTTTGAGCGATGAATTTTGGGTACCTCATAGTGTTAATTGATTTTGGATGTCTTGTAGATGGACTATAACAGTATTAGGTAGTCTGATGTTCGTGTTGGTCATGCATGCAAGCTGTACAAACCGAATTTTAACAATGATAGCGACTTGTTTGTTATGAAGTTAGTCCCTTATCTCTCCACTAGCATTGTATGGTTGTTGTATGCAATTTATCCTGTTCAAGTAAATGACCTAGCAAAATTTTTCTATTTAACCAGCAAAATCTATCTTATTTCAATGATGATGAGTCGTGGAATTTGATGGAAAACCTATTTTTTAATTTGTTTTAATTGTAAATCCAAGGAAAACTTTGTTACTATAAAAGTGGGTTAAAGCTTGATAAAACACAACCAAGTATTAATGAATAGGTTTTTGTTTTGGCAAGCAATTTCTTCGTCTTCTCCTTGATTGAGTTGAAAATGAAGTTTTCCAAAAAAGATCAACTCCTTGTATAAGCATTAAGGTTTAATTGTTCTGATTTTGTGAGGCGACTTCTTTTATTCTTTCTTATTCTTTTTCCAACTCTTATTGTTAGCTTTGTATATGTGATTCATTTTTATCAAGTTTAATACAAGATGGACTTTTATGGTGGCATTATTTTCAATTGATTACACAATTTATAAGTTTCTGAATTACTATATGTAACTTTTAGTAGAAGGCTATTAATTTATCACCTGCAATAATTTGTAATTATTTTTTATTTTCATCTTATGAAATTAATAGTTGTCTAAATTAAAAGTTTATGATCTAGAACATTTTATATGTCCTTGTGGTTTTGACGATCTCATTGTAAATTTGCATTAACAAATCATAAACTTTTATACATCCTACATTGAAGTCTCATTTTGTTTGACTCTAAATCTTTGTAATTTGATTTTAAAGTTAGAAAATGAAAGAAATGATTATAGACTTTAGATTTTGTAATCTATTACAATATTTCGTTATACTTACCTTTAATCATATTTTTATGAATTATTGAAATTATAGAATTCACACGGCCCCTGACAAGCAAAACAAACCACTTTACAGTTTACACCTCTGCCATTAAAAGATGGCTTACCAGTATGTTTCAGACCGTACTCTCCACCATATCCATCACTTTAGACACTTGCATTTCAGATAAAAAAATTGTCGAGGACACCAACACGAGAAGTTTCAACATAACTTTTTGTCTATGTGCTATTGTTCTTTTAAAATATACGTAAAATAACATATTCTAGATGCATCCTAGTTGAACAGCAAAGACACTTTTAGCAATGAATCAAACAATGTTCCATGATATGCCACATAGTTAAAGATATTAGACACTGCACACAAATATGAATAGCATCTGATTAAGATGCTATGGCATGTATTGGGATTTTCATTTGTTTAATAAGTATGATTGAATAAAATAAATGGAAATCAAAGCTAAGGAATTTTACAGTTCAATCACTTGATAGAAAGTATAACACACATGTCAAAACCGAAAAACGCAACTCTTACAAAAGAAACACCAGTCAACAGAAATTCAATTACAATAACATAACACTAACCTTAGAAGCATGGATGTTGGCATGTTGAACTTTACTTCCCTGCTCCCTCTTTAAAGAGTCCTCTGGTCATTACAATTTTTGAGATGTAAAACAACTTCTAATTGAAATCAGAAAACTTTAAACATAAAACTAAAACATAAAAATCAACAATAACACAATCAATAAGACTAAGGTGAAGTTATCTTGGTTATGTAAAGTCTAATGAAATTTCTGAATACATTTGTGCAAGATTTCTAAGCCTTCTTGACATCCTTGAAAGTTCGAGATATAGGTGTTATACATAGGCTTCTAGTTCTATATTAATGGTCTTTTGATCAGATGTGGTTATGCTATCTTAATAAGCATGAAGCCCTAAAGATATTCTATGTGCATCATTCTCTAAGGTATGTTACATATGTGTTTCTATTCATATTCAATGTCATGTATACATGTTAATTCTGTTTATCTCTAAGGTATGATATATGTGTGTTCCTATTCATGTTCAATGACATGTATACATGTTAATTATGTTTAACTCTTAGGGTATAGGGTTTAGAGTTTATGGGTTTAGGGTACAAATTTTGCATTAAAGATACTAAGATAATCATATTCAACTTGACTTTTGGGAAAGAATTTGCATTAACCTCCTTCAATCACAAAAAGTAATTACTAATTAGGTCCCTTATTTTTTGAAACATTAGAGTAGGTCCCAAATTTTCTTCACTTGGTAACCAAAAGAGGCCATCTAATAATCATTGTTCTTCAAGCAGTTATTTTTTTTCCTAATGAAAGTAGCCATGCCTCCCAATTGCTCATGAAAATGACATTTGCCTCAGCCAATGTAGAAACTATCAGTGAAAATTATCAGGGGGCATGGGTTACTTTCATAGGAATCTAAAAAAGTGAACAATGCTAACTCAACTCACTTTATTTTTAGGTAAAAAAATTATAAGTATTTAGAAAATCCAAAAAAAGAATTTCCTACTTATAACTTGTGTCAGAACTTATTTAAAAAATCTTTTTTGGTTTAACAGCAATGTGAAAAAAAATATCAAATCTGAACCCATGGCTCATGAAATGCTACCTTTTGATTTGAAGGAAAGCCATTCACAATAAAATGACCCACGGGTCAAAAAAAACTCAGCAATTAAGCAAGTGAGTAAGTTCTTGTAGATAATAAAAAGGTACTATTAAACATTAACAACCAAATGAAGGATCCATATTAAAATTAGGTACAATAAGGACAAAGGAAAGAGACTCCAGAATGAAATTCAAAGAACTGTAATGAAATATGAGAAGGCATCCAGTGGTTGGGATAACATCAAATGAAATAATTTTTTATAGCTCTAAGAACATAGCAAATAAAAGAAGACAACAATCATTGAATACAAGGATACCAAAAAAACAATATCAAATTAGACATAAAATAAATTATTAATCTAGCAAGTGAACACTGCTTGAGGCTTTATACTTTGAACAGACAGGCTGATAAGGGACTAGGCTAGATTCAACTAAAAATTAAAAAATAAAAAATCTACATTAAAATGGTAAAGTGATAATGCTAAGCTGTCTAGAGAGACCACATTCCAGAATAAATATTTTTTTCAAATGTAAGCTATACAATTAAATCCACCTCTAAACTCTATGCCAAAGTTTCCTTTTAAATTTAAATGTTGAAACATGGATGACAGGCCCAGCCCTTCATAATGAACATTACTTGGTGCATATGTTCCAATGATTCAAATGCAGAAGCTTTATAAAGTAAATGACAAGCACAAAGCTCTTCATAACCATGGACAACCAAATTAATTTTAAGCCAACTTAACTAAGAAATCATTTGGTTGCTAGAAGTTAGAAAGCATGCTTTGAAGAAGGATGAGTGATATAGATCCAAGAAAATGAATAGAATCTTAAGTAGACAAGAAGAATGATTTCATTACTATAAAGAAAAAAATATGTGAGATAAGGTGGGCATCCTTTCAAAACAAAAGCACAGAGACTCACTTGAACATATTATTCAGGGAATCACTCATCCACCAAGACTCACTCAACATTACAATAAGGATCATTCAACCAAATAAGAAGAACATCTCACTCTCTAGTCCTTCAGCTCTTCCAAAATCCACTATATCCATGGATTTTTCTAGTCTCAAATAAAAACTTTTCGTCAATTAAATGAGGTTGTTAAAAAAGGGAATAGTTGGTGGTTGTAAAGTACAGTTGAATGTTGGGTGGTAAGCACCGGCTGAGAAGTACAATAAAAATCTAATGGGTACATCATTTTACCCTTTTTTTTTTCTTTTTTTTTGAGAAAAGTTGAATGTTGAAGCACAAATTTGATATGGGTGAGATTCAATCCCAAAACCTTAGCAACAACTTCCAAGATTTTTACCAACTGAGCTATATCTAGCATTCACCATCATTTTCACTTAATAGAAGAAAACTCAATATCAAGTTCAACATCTAGCAAAGTACCTCCTCCATCATAGTTGACTGATGTTTATGAAAACACCCAAGTCGATACGAGAAAACAATCTCATATACCAATTTAATGTATCTCAAAGAAAATAAAGCAAAACTAAAAGTGAATAGGAAGCAAGATTTCATTATTGTAAAGGATAAATGTAGGGATTCACTTACCAAGACTACGGGGGCTCACTCACCCATAATATTAGAGAAATCATTCACATGATGAGACTCAATCACCTATTATAGTGGGAAATCACTCACCAAAAAAGAAGAAATATCTCATTCTTTAATCCTTAATCTCTCCAAAAAATCTATATAAATCCATACCTTTGTATAGGCTCAAAAATGAACACATGGAAAATTAAAAGAGGTTGTTGAAAGGGGGATGTCTGTTGATTGGAAAGCACAATTGAATAGGGTGGATGATGGGAGATCAATAGTGGTTGGAAAGTACAAGCATCTAATGAATACTTCATCAAAGAGTTTACTAGATTCAATTATTTGATTGGATGTAGTTAGATATCAAACCACATTCATTATTAAAATGCATGAAAATGAAATCAATATTTTTAAAAGTATAATGTATGTCTAAAACAACCAAAAAATCCCTGTAAAGACAAGCATCACAACACAACGCAGTTTCTGCTATGCATAATTTTAGAAAAAAATCACCAAGCAGATAAAGTAGAATTAAGTAGCATATCTAGGGAGCAAGAGCCACGACATACATGAATTACACAGATCACTAAGTTTCTCAAAAAGCTTGACAAAAATTTCAGCGGCAAAATGTAGCTCAGCCGGTAAATATTATATATCATTTTCCTTCTACGTAGCACAACAAAAAACAATCCATTTTGACCTAGTAGAAAAGCATTTTACTCCCCCATGGATCTAAAGCCAAAACTTCAAATAGCTTTTTTTCTAAACTTCGCCTAGCTAAACTAAAATTAGATAAGAAAGATAATTTTCCTCTTGGGTTGGGAATAACCAATCACCTTCACCTAGCTAAATCTTACTAAGATAAAACGACAACTTAACTCTTGCACTGGCAAATAATCAATCACCTCCCCCAGCCAAAATATAAGCTGAATAAAAGCACAAATTTATTCTTGCACTTGCAAACCAACTAGTAGTACTACATTTTTCGTGAAAAAAAATAAATAAATGAAGCGCTCCAGTAAGAGCTCTCCTTCCTGGGGTTGGAGGTGTCTAGATCAAAAACCACGAAACCCTGAACAGAAGCAATCTTGCTCAATATCTACCGCTACAATCAACAATACAGCGCGATGCAGTTAAATGATCGGGATAAAAGAAGACCTAACTACCGCATAGATTTGATAAATATCGACAGAGAGAAAGAGGGCACTAATTTCCGAAGGACTTACTTAAGACGAGGACCGGCGCGTGCATGGCAGAAAATGGAGGAAGACGTGGTGTAAGAAATTATGAATGCGCTCTATTGGCCGGAAGTGATCACCGGCAACAGCGCCGCTTTTGGATTTCTCTAAGCGACGCCCGTTCTTTCTCGAGAGCTTTGTTCTACACGCGACCGGAACACTCGCGAGCAGAAAAAACCCTTACCGCTGTGGGACCAATTTTTATACACGATGGAGTAGAGCCAGGATTTGCATTCGGTTGTTTGTGATTTATTGGAGGATTGCTCGAATTAATTAATTTTTAATCTAAATTATGGAATATATATAAATATACAATTTAACAAATTTTAATTAAATTATTTTAAAATTAAATTAGTGAACTTTGCATATAAATATTAGAAATTTTAACTTTTAAATTTCTTTTTTTATTTTAAATTCATGAATTTCATTGATTTAACATTTAAAAATATTAATCTAATTTAATTTTTATTTGATTGGCTTTACAAAAATAAAAAATGAATTAATAACAAATATCTAGAAAAAATAGGTAATTATAATTAATAACTAAAATGATATTCAACAATTGAATCAAACCAACTAAATAAGATCTATTAGATTCAACTTTTAGATTTCATCCAAATAATATGTACCCGTAATGATAGCCTAACTAAATGAACAAATCTTAGTTCTAATAAATTGATTGAAGACGCTAAAATAAAAAAAAATGATAAAGGAGATCAACAAAAAGATATTAGTAAAAAATAATGAATCAACTCAAATATCAAAGGGGATACATAGTATATCAATCATAATATAAGGTAAAAATAGAAAATAAAGACAGCTCTAAATAATTCTTATGAAAAGTAAAGAGATGAAGGCTTCGTTTGAGACGGTTTTTTTATTGCTTCTTAAATCAGAATTTTAGTACAAAAATTTTAATTTTTTAACTAAAACTTTGCATTAAGAAGCAATAAAAAAACCATCTCAAATGAAGTCAAACTCATCAAACGATGTTTTCACATAAATTAAGGCACATATTTTGTACAGAATAGACTTCAACCAATGTATCCAAAGATAACTATTTTCTAGTTGTGATGATAGCATAAAATGACAACTATTCTTCAAAATTTGGATAATCATCGAAAGTACACTCCTTTCAATTAACCATTTGGTGGAAGTCCATAACAAGGGGATCTAAGAGAGTAAATTTAAGGAAGACTATCATTGGCTTAGGCATTTACACACCAAAAAATGGAGGAAATAAATCAAACAAAAGTAACAATTAAAAAGGGATGAATGAAAGCAAACAAAATTATAAATAAAATGTAAAACTTAGCTTTTAAGTGGGTCTAACCTAAAAGAGTGGCTATTGAACTTCAATTTAAATTACTATCATCTCTACAGTCCACTACCTATTTGAGGCAATTGAAATAAATGCCACCGAAAACATTAATAAGAGAGCTAAATATAAGAAACATGACTTGAAGGGGAAAGAAATACACAAAGTTGATACCTAATAATAAATAAAGATGGAGGGATCTCATAGCATGTGAAAAAAGAGGTTAGACTAAAGCTTTGTGTAAGAGATATAAGAAAAATCATAGACTTCCAACATACACAAAGAGAGGGCAGCGATTGACAAATGAATATCTTACTAAGGCTAACAATCATCCATTAGAATGGAGATTAACATCATATTCATCACTGCCTACGGTCTCTGAAAATTGTAATCTCAACCGCCAACAACGTCTAATATGAAACCCTCATATGGCCAAATAATTAAAGCTAAGAAACCAATTAACCTTCAACAATTAACATTATAAAGTGCCCTACAAAGCATATATCCAGCCAAAATGAGAAAAAAATCAAATTCCAAGGAGCCAAATAAAATCAAACTACAATGAGAGAAGACCACTTAAATAGAAAGGTAAGAGTGCAATAGATATTGAATACAAATAGATTTAGGATTCGTTTGGGACGGCTTTATTACTGCTTCTTAAAGTGGCTTTCTAGTACAAAAATAAAAAAATTGAAAATTTTGTACTAGAAAGCCGGTTTAAGAAGTTGGAAGAAAGCTCGGAAGGCTTTTAATTTTTGTATTTGAAAGCTGCTCTAATAGGCAGTAAGAAAGTCATCACAAGCAAAACCTAAATTTATCAACACCACCTTGCACAATGTATTATTCAAAATAACTAACCAAGAAGATATTGGAAGTAACAAAACGAGTTTAGAGTGTTAATCATCAAAAGGAAAAACAAAAATTAAAAAAGAGATTCCTTGAATAATTTTTTACAACAACATAGATTATGAGCAATATTTAGAAAGCAATTCATTAAAGAAGCAGAAAAAAGTAATCTGAATTCTAATCCATCAACCTTTTAGTAAAGCAATTATTTTAGAACTTAATAAAGAAAATAATAATAATAATAAAAGAAAGAAAATAAGTGAAATAGAGCAAAACAACTTACTAAAATAGCTAATCATTCTCATCGAAAAAGACACCAAAAAATTGACAATCACAAAAATCATCAAAACAAAGAAGATAAAAATATATAGTTAAAATATGTAGCACATACCAAAATTGTTGTAGCACTTATGCACATCAATATCATTTTTAAGGTTATTTTTTGTAATAATGACAATAAGATATAAAGGATCAATATTATTAGCACGTTTTAAGGATCGAAGGAGAATTCTAGAGAAACTTATCCACCAAATTATGACCGTGGTATGAAATATATGTATTTGTACATTCTCACAAAATTTTATGGAATAAAAATTATGTTAGAATATTTATAATGGCTAACAAATTATTAGATTTTCATTGAAATTAATGCAGTATGAATTCTTCCTATGCCGCATCAATTTAAAAATAGATTTATTGATTTTTATACTTATCTTAAGAGAATTTATATTAGAATATTCAATCACAAATTTTTTTTTTTTTCAATTTTTTACTACGACAACATACCACATTTTTTGTGTTAATGGAACTCTATGATCTTTTCCAGTCACGTCCATATGTTTTATTAGAATACATTGCTTTCACCTTAGAAGACTTGAATTCCATCATTTCTAAAAAAAACATTTAAGCTTCATTTGGAACAGATTTTCTTATTATTTTTTGAAGCAGCTTTTTAGTATGAAAATTTCTAGTTCAAGAAATTTGTATACTTAATAGATGCTTTATAAAACAATGAGAAAAAGAGAGTTGTCTGAGACGGCTTTCTTTCTGCCTCTTAAAGCAGCTTTTTAATACACAAATTAAAACTTTAGTACTAAAAAGCTGTTTTAAGAAGCATAAGGAAAGCCGTCCAAATGAGGCTTTAATCTAAAAAACTTTATTCAAAGGAGAGAACTTGTGCTTTAGACTTGGAAGATTCAAAGTTTCTGCCTAGTGATTAAAACGCCGTGCGCTTCCAATCCCAAATGTTGCTCATGATTATTTTTATAACTATTATTTACTTCTAAGACAAAATTCTAATCAACTTAACACAAAAATAGTTGGATCCAAATCTATCTGTGGTTGATACTAGACCTTACTAGCAAGCAAATTCTATAATAAGATGTAATTGAAATCTATGTTAGAATAGAAAGAAAACAGTGTACGAGAGAAAATATGTAAAAATGTGCTCAAGGGACTCAATGTCTCAATCAGTCCAAAAGATTTAAAAGGTTCATTTTCACCATAATTTATCCAAGGGTTATAAGAAAAATTACATCACGAAAGAATAGAAAATACATTGATTTGATGGCTCTTAGAATAGGCTGTGTCGGACATTTGCCACCTCCTGACTGGTTGTGGGAAGAACAACGTTGTATGACTTTAATGAGTTGTCTTTAGGGCGAGTCCATATATATATACATGGAGAGGCCATATATATTGCCTTCAAAAATGATCTGCAATCTTTCCAAATATTGCATCACTCCATATATATATATACATTGACAAGTACAAATTCTATAAACAAAGACAACAATACAAATATAGAAAATAATCTTTCAAGCCATTAGAAGGGGTCGGTGGCAAACAGAGAAGGATTAGTGAGAAATTAGACTTTTAGAAGATTATTGATTTACTCATCCAAATTTTTGTCAGCAAATTAACACGTAAATAAAGGATAAGAAAGATGAATCCTAATACAAAATGAAGTTGTTAATCTATTCGGATCAGTTAAGTGCTAGTTGGTCTAGCCACTTTAGATAAGCAAAACATTTTTCTTTTCTGAAATTTCTTGAAACTTTGTCTTAGCCACCTCACATCACCTTCTTCTGATCCCTCCTTTGACGGTTTATGTGGGATGGTTGTAGCCTTTTGTAAAGTTGTTATAAATCTATTGTGAAAAAAATAACTATTAAAAATCTTTCTAGTACAAAAATTTGTTGAAAGTAGCAAAAAATAGTAGGCAAACATAACTGTATTTATGATTTTGAAAAACAAAGCAGTAAAAAGTTGTCCTAAACACACAAATCCTAAGTATTTGTTTGTATCATTGCAAATTTTAAAAGTTCTTGTAAAATAATTATATAAAAAAATAAAAATTTTAGAAGTTCTTGTAAAATTTTTATAATTATTATGACTATTGTAGACTTTTTCTTTTAGAAAAAATAGATAATAAATTTCTCATAGTTATCATATTCTAATAAATTTAATTACATTATATAAAAATTTCTCAACATCAAAATATATATTATAGTGATATCTATATCTAAAAAATAAATTGTAAGAAAACTATTTCAAACAGTCTTTAAATCTTTCATCTTAAACAAAATCTATAGATAAGAGCCTAAACCCTAAGAAGGGTTCAACATATAAAAGAGCACAAAAAAGGAGATTAATAGACGAAACAATGATAAAAGAAAAGTATATTATGTTTAAAGACTATAACTTATTCATTAATGGAGGCCATTAGAGAGAAGGATTGTGACATTTTATTGAGTGTCATAAGAGCATAAATTAATATTAGATATAGATGTTGCTTAATTAGTAAGTAATCAGAGAGATATAGAAAAAAATTGAAAGAGAAAGATAATGATGGAGAGCAATAGAGTGGATGCCTCATCACACTTTCACTTTATTTTCTTTCAATATAGCAGTTGAATTAAAATAGAATTATTTCTATTACCAATCTAACTTTTTTTTTTTTTTCAAAAAGAGTGTGATGATTAACAATAAGGCTTTTGCGTATACATACATGTAT